CGACATATTGTGGCGGATCATGGTGTACCAAAAATGATATTGACGGATCAAGGCCCCTGTTTTGAAAGTGAGGAGTTCAAGACTCGTCTGGAGGCACTGGGTATTAAGAGGATTAGAGCGACTCCGTATCATCCGCAGACAAACGGCTTAACCGAAAGGAACAATCGCACACTCAAGGAATGGCTAGCTGTGAGAAGAGGCAACTGGGAAACTGACTTACCGTTGGTATTACTAGCACATCGTGCCACAGTACAAGGGACAACAAAAAAGTCGCCTTTCCAGCTGATGTATGGGAGGAAACCACGCTTACCGGTGCACCATAAGACTTGGCCAACACAACAAAAATGGAACAGTAAGAGATGGACAAGTGAGCGGAAACAAGCTATTCAGAATATACAAGAGAAGCGCAAGATAGACATCGAAAATTATGTCAAGAAACAAATCAAAGCTTGGAAGCCGTTTGAAGTAGGTGACCAGGTGAAATGTAGAGAACGAAAGTATACTACCGGAAGTGGACCAGGATCAGGAAAGCTTCTGCCGAAGTGGGAGGGACCATATGTGGTCACATCGAGACGCGGTCCAGTGTACACAATAAAGTGAGGAGATAAAGAGAAAAGAGTAAACGCCAGTCTGCTACAAAGATGGAGAGAAGAATGTCAAGACAAGGTGCAAGAAGAGCAGCAGGATGAAACGTCTGTGCGGCGATCAAGGCGGTTACAGGAGAGACTTTATAATGAGGGGGCGAGTGTGGTGAGTGCCACTTATAATCCGATATAAGTGGTATATCAGGAACGAAGTAACAACATGTTTGGCACACTGGAAAGAGCATTCAAAGAAGAGAACCATGAGAAGAATGTTGCCATATGATGCAGAATCCAAGAAGCTATCGAATGAGACGATATTCGACCAATTCGTCAAGGATGTGGTAAAGATGTGCAAATAGCCGGTTCAGAATATGGTATTCCAAATTTAGCTATGTACCATACGTTTCACCAAATTAACATTCCTTTCAGTCTCCTCAGTCTTGTCTTCTTTACAATAATATTGAAAGAAGGAGACTGAATACCCCATTAGCCAGCACCTTTCACGCAGCTAAGTTGATTCCTGCTCATCAGCCAACATGCTCTTTGGTGAAATCAAAAGTCGACAGATACCCTTCTGATGTTAACTCCAAGCGTATGTACAAATTTAGACGTATCTGTAGTAACATTGGGATTGATTTTCTGAAGATGCACCGGAAAGCCTATGTCTTAAGGATACAAATGCTTACAGTAGTGCCATTGCCAGACATCTCATCGGCATGGGTTGTGAGGTGTACATCGTGAAATCATTTAAATGTATCAGTAGACAAACGGGCTCAGTTCTCCACAAGTTTGCAGAGTTGATCCCTACCAAACGCTTGGAACTCGATTTGTGTTCAGACAGAAGCAGTTATCAGTCCCACCTTGTCCTAAGGACTGGGTGCCTCTGCTCCCTCTCTTTCATATGACACACACAACTTTTGGTCCTGACCTCACCCCCCTTTTGTATGATGTTAATCTTTTTATCTCTTGTCTCTATCATTTGAGATGAACTGACCACACTATTACTCAATTTATTAGTTACTGATAGTCTTACTCGCATCCTGCGTTTATTACGTAACTCCCTTACCATTGCATGCATTGATAGATTTGGGTCCAAACTTGGACTCTCCGCGTAAAAGCTGTATGAGTGTGTGCAGTTAGCCACCCTACACAAACGCATCGCGCGAGGGTGGCACAGAGGTTAGGACGCTCGCCTACCATTCACATAGTCTGGGGTTCTATCCCCGGCCGACGCACTCCTTTACCTCGCTAAACCAGAAATAATGCTGTTAAAGAAGAAAGGTTGGGCATGAGGCTAGCAACTCCATCCTGTAAAAGTAAACACAGCTACAGAAACTTCAAGCCACTAGATTGAAGCCCTATTTTTCACTGGGAACGTGAGGGAAAAAACACAAACGCATCGTGAAGGCATGCAACTATTTTTCAGTTCCTAGAAGAATGTAAGTAGTTACTAACGCCTTTGCTTCACGAATTTTATATTATAATTTTTAACATACATTTTGAAGGCGAGCGGTTCCCCCAGCTTTTCGGATGGCTCAATGACTTATACGGGTGGATGTAGTTGGCAGTGATCGTAATGGCGAAAATCAGAGTATTTCGGTCAGACTGCTTGAAATGGATTAAAAGAACGAGGTCACTGTGAATCAAACGTGTCATTACATTCTCCTGCGGAGTTTTTTAAACTTTCTGAAGTCAAGCACAAAGCTTATATCCCAGTAATGCCAAAGCATGGTTTGGCCCAGTGAAATCCATGGTATTGTCAGACAAAAATAGCTTAATCACAGAAATACTACTACAGCGTAGTCACTTAACTAAAAAGTGCAAGCGGACCTCAGACACAAAATACGCACTATGAGGCAAAAATAAATGACCAGTCACAAAATGTAAATACCTGGGAATCAGCAAGAATATTCTCGGCAAAATGGAATCGAAGCTTCCATAACAGTACAAAATGCATTTCTTGCAGAATGAGAAGAGTGCGCAATCAACCACAGTAGTAGCTATCCAGATCCCTAGTGGCTTGGAATGATTTCTAACTAGTTTCAGTCACTTTTTAGTATTTGGCTTGTAGGCCGGACTAAAACCAGTAAAACGGCCGCATGGTGTTCCCATCGTCTCGATCTGCTCTCTGATATGTGATTCAGAACTGTCAATTAAATAAACCCTATAGATCATTGAATGATATAACTTTAGTAGCCAAATCTTAGACCATTATAACTGCGGAAAACCCCGGCCTGCACGGGAAAGTAAAGAATATCATGCCAGACACAGAATAGAATTAAAGTTCACATTCAAGTAGCGGACAGGTTGCAAACTAAAAACCATGAGCCAAAGCAAAGGCGCTTGCATACAAATTCAAATTAGTCAGTGGATAATTTACCCCATCATTTTCCCCTTTCATGTTTGGCGTAGTGTTAAAATGAACGGACACACTCAGTGTCAGTCTTGACCATCCAAACCACACCGGGTTTCAACTGAGGAAAATTTTTACAGGGCCTCGGACAAAAGCAACCATTAGCTGATTGATTTAGAATTCACTTGATTTGCTGCTGTTGTCTTAAGATAATTTCGTTTTCTAATTTTTGAAATCTAAATGAAGTACGTTTTAGATATTGCACTTTTAACAAAAGCCTGCTGATAAAACCTCCAGCTCTATCAAGTCGACATTTCGTGATGCAAACTGAATGTCAGTATCAGTTGTGAGTTGCTAATTATATCAAATATTTCACGTAAATGATAAAATGTGTTGAATATTGTGGTTATGCAGGTTTAATTGTACTTATGACGTTTCGTAGTCAGAAAGAAGAGGAAATTGACTGGGTGTAGATGAAAGCACAGAATCAAATAATTATTTGAAAGACACTTTTTTTACATTACTTATTTTGATTCGGTTAAGTCCTGACAGAAAAAGCACTGATTTTACTCGACATATTACAGTCATTGCTTCCGCATTCACCCCGAGTATTTAGATAAAATGAAATAAAAACAGAGAATATGTGCGAAGGACAACATATTCGTAATATTGTTAATGCAATGGTTGAAATAAATATTTCCCAAATGTTTACAGGTTACTCACAAAATAATAATACCTCTTTTGCGTCGAAGGAGGTATGATAATCAGGTGAACAGTGAGCCTTATTTAGAATACGTAGAATGCGCAAAATGTCATTATTACATTCAAATGGAGTTAAACATAGTGAAGCACTACTATTGATTTTCAGTCGTTCCTTTCACTAAGATATTTAGATGCTGAGCGTGTTGACATTCATGGATAGTACGAAGTATACTAACGCAAGATCTAATACTCAAAACTTGTATATTATTCGTTCAGCGTAGACCAAAGGCCAAGCAGAAGACCAAATTGATTGTCCGAAATACGGAGTATATTTCAGGACCAAAATTGTGGTGTGAGGATGACTACTTAACTAGCTAGGAAGCGTGCATGAACAACCGAGCGTAATGCAATACCATGCCAAATGGCATGAATGCTTGATCGTGAGCCTTCAGCTAAACAAAACGATTCAAACTGTGTGGGTCAGCATTTAGTTTTCAGTAGTGAATTCCGGGAGTAATTATCCTAGATAATTTCCTACCGCTACACATACTTCAAGCTGATTACACACAAAATGATAGGTATATCTCAAGCTGCAGTGTGTTGCGTCAGGTAAAAGATCAAGTAATTCGCCTGAGATAGTCAAATGATACACCAGTTAAGGATTGAAGGTGATCTTGTGACTTGTTATCTATTCAGAATGAAAATTACGGAGGACTAACTCCAGTATTCTTTTTAACACGAAGTGGTTTCCTCTGAAACACCTATATTATAGACGGCATAACAATGATAGACTACTTATGATATTATTAGGTTTTATATATTTGCTACATAGCATTCATAATGTGTACGTATATGGCAGACATGGGTTCATGCACATCTAATGCAATGTAAATTTTGTACCTGCATATAAAGCACTCTGAGTGAAAATAAGTGTCAGGAGCTATTTTTTAGGAAGCAAATAAGTGGGATGATAGAAGTAACATATTAATTCAGAAAATAAGGGGTCACTGTATGTGCGAGTACCAGTTATATAAAGGGATTGAAGTGATTTACATGCCGATATATTTAAATTCATTAATTCGGTCTTCAGTACTGTTCTGAAGTGCCTAGACTGCCAATTTTTAATTTTTAAACTGGACCTTGCTTATTCGACTAAATACGTGGTAATATTATGGAATGAGAAAATATTAAGGCTGGACTTATTCGGCATATTGATTGAAATTTTGCCCGATAAATGTTTTGTGTGAACCTTTTTCAATAAAATTGTGTTATATGTAGACTGATAGGAATTCTCATTTCTCACTAGGTGTTGCTGAAACTGAGTTCTTGCTGACGCGGCAAATTCAGTGTGTAGCGCCACAATGGCCCAGTCGCATAATCTTGGTAACGATTCGCTCGTTAGTCATGCTTTTAATGGCGATGGAACAGAATTGGCTCTCTCCGTTAATACAAGTGATGTTTATTTGCTCAGTGTTCCCAAGTCTCCCAGTGGGAGATACCAAGTGATCGACGTTCTTCGGGAACATAGTGCTGTAGTTACTAGCATAGACTGGGCACCACAAACTAACAGGATTGTTTCATGTTCCGCTGACCGCAATGCTTATGTGTGGAATAAACAAGGGGATAAATGGAAGCCTACTGTGGTCATTCTCTCGGTAAGTTTCTTCGACAAAACGTTGAATTTTAGTTGAAATGTTTTGCAGATCGATAGAGCTGCAGTTTGCGTAAAATGGTCTCCACTAGAAGATCGTTTCGCAGTTGGAAGTGGTTCTAGACTTCTAGCTGTATGCTGCTTTGATGAAGAGAATAATTGGTGGCTTAGCAAGAAGATTAAAAAGCCCATACGCTCTACTGTGCTTTGTGTTGATTGGCACCCAAATAATGTTCTTATTGCCTGTGGATCAAGTGACTTCCATGTGAGGATATTCTCAGCTTATACAAAATCTGGTCCTTCGGATTCAGTGTGGGGCAAACATGCTCCTCTTGGCAGTGTATTGTTCGACCACTACGATGGAGAAGGTGAGCTTTCACGTAGTATAATTGCAGTGTGGCCTTGTCTTTGTATTGCACTTTATGTATAGGTTATTAGCGTCGTAATAGTCCGGGTTATCAGCTATAAGAAGGGAGAATAGATCGAAAATACAGAGAATTATAGTGCCAATCGCTAAATAGTCTCAAATAGGTATTGTCTAATAAGTTGTTTTTGTCTGTGTAAACGACAGCTAATTTGTTACCTCGTATTTATAATAGGCGTTTGGGCTCTTTTTCATACTATGAAATGAAAAGAGACATGGCGTTAGGGGACTAAGTCATTAAAAGTTTTGCCCGCCGCTGAAGTGTAACTCGTTATTACTGTCATATATATATATATATATATATATATATATATATACGACAGTAGTGTATAAATATATATTCACTTTGGGTTTTAATTTACAACCTAAACAATGTTTAACACTAACTGACACGCTTTATTCTCGATAATATTTTCTTGAATTTTTTCACTTCTGCACGTCCAGTAATATATACATACTCTTGGATGATTTGGAGATGGGTTGCAAAGGGGAATTACTTTTGTTATATACTAAGTCTTGCTGACAGATATCATATTCTAATGCACTAATCGGGTATTTATACAAGTAGAAAATTAACATTGGAGTGCATTGACTCAAGTATTCCAAAAAATAGAATAGTGGATAAGTATATGGATAGGAAAACAATGAGTAAAGCAGGGTGAATAAAGACGTTCTGAATTTCGAAGATTGATAAGGGTAAATGGGTAGGCTATATATTACAAAAAGATCCAAGCTTCTGCTTACTAGGATCCTTCGTACACTTATTCCCCTTCAAAGTGAAAACTAATGTTTGTGCAGAATCGGATGAAGCCATTGTTCATCTGGTTGGCTTCTCCTCATCTACGTACAACTTAAAACTGTTAAAAATGAGTAGAGAAATTTGGACATAATTGAAAGGGTTAAATTATTTTTGGTCAACAGATTCTGCAGAGACTAACGGGCAATCTATACTGCCTTAAATGGTTCAGATCAGCCAAGATTTTCATGTATTGGTGCCATGCTTCGATCTGACAATCGTTAATTCGTTTCCATCCTAATCCTACTTTATGTCTTGTTTAGTCTGGATTAACTGGGCTCAACGAACTCGATTGGTGGATCCTGTCTCACGTAGTTAGCTTGTTAAAACTGACCCAAAATATATCCACCGTATACTCAGCAGTAAACCACACTTATCGTGTTGACTCTAGTAGTATTACCCAGTTTTTCAGTCTAGATTCGTTGTTGCGGTATGCATACTCTAGAATCAACCTAGATTTAGTCGGCGGCCGATTCACTAATAGTGACAAAATCTCATCTCATTATTGTAAAAAGCGAGTCCTGTGGTGCCAACTTTGACATTGATTGACTGAATGCTTAAAGTCTAACTTGGACTCAACGTATTTAAAGGATAGTATTTCATCAGCATTTCTAATCAAGGAGATTATTTTTACCTGGTACAACTCTAGTAGCTCAACTTTTGGTAGGAATTTGAATTCTGTGATAAGGTGAAGCAGTTATATGCCTGAGAGGATATGCATACATGACGAACAACAATGTTTTTGCCAAAGCCTCAGGATGGTCGGGGGTGGGTGCCTTGCGCTGCGGGTTGGCCACCCCTCCGCACACCTCTTGAAATGCTCCCATATGACCAGGCGTCTTACACAGCCTCTCCTGAGGAAGTCCTACTCACTGCCTTCACGTGGCGGAGGTGTTTTTCACCAAAGTGAGAGGGCGAAAGCGGATGCCCGGCGCTCTTCACCGGGTTGACTGTCCATTGGATGACATTCTAGGGGAGATGGCTAAACCCTGATTCCAAACCTCCAACGACTGGCGTATGAAGCTCACTGGAGCTCACCGGCAGACGTATGGACAAAGGGCTTGTTGGATGTCCTGGATGTCTGGCCTCATTCAAAAAGGCGTATGAACCGAACTCCGGTCACCGGCTGCCAATGGATAGTGGACTCCCTACTCCACTCCTACTGCCTTGTAGGTCACACTTGGTTGTGTAAAGGCTAGAGCTGCACTCTCAAACAAAAGGCCGAGTGGTTCTGGGGACATCACTCGTACCAAATTCCCATGAAACTTCGTAAACTCTCTTCATCAGATCGCTGCGCCTGGGTAGCGATGATTTGAGAAGTTCATGAAGCCGGCTCATCCTTCCGTAGGAGATAGCCGAAGCAAAGTAAAGTAAAGTAAGTTTTTGGCAAACCTAATTTTGGTTAGAGTTGACAGATCGATTTCATTGTCATATTCATCTGCATTTGAGTTGTGAGCAAAGGTAGACTGACGGAACTACTCGTAACTGTTTGTTGCATTAAGTTACTTAAGTTCCTTATTTCTTGGAGATTGTTTCATTTTGTTTAGTTTTTCTGGGGATTTTCGGCGCTAGTTGGTTCTGTCGATTTCACATACATTTTATTTTGCTTTTAATTAGGTGGTTGGGTACTAAGTGTATCATTCTCAGCAGATGGAAGTAAACTAGCCTGGATGAAACACAATTCAACAATATATGTAGCTGATGCAAGCATTAATGATGGTAAAAGTTCTGCGCCTTTTGTTGCTCGTCTTCGAACTGACTTTTTACCTTTTGTGAGTTGCATTTGGATTGGACCGTCCACCTTCGTAGCAGCTGGCTATGACTGCTGTCCTATGGCATTTAGATATAGTGACCAGTCGATAACTTTTATCCATCAAGTATGTTTTGTAACTATTGATGCTTATGAATTTTTTATTATCACCATTTCTAATATAATTTGCGTTTCATCGTGGTTGATTATTCAGTCTCTGTAGGTTCTATTGTTCCACATCATCCTGTTTTTCAACATACTCAGCTTTATGACTACTGTTATTCCGGTAATTTAATGAGGTGCAATACTTGTGATGTGTTTATGAAAATTGCTCCTTGATGCCTATTTGAGATTTTCCCAGGCTTTACGAACTGAACTATCGAGTTTAGGCTCAGGATAAAGCACATGTCTTCACAATTCGTCAACGTGTAACTAAACAAATCATCTTAAACCCAGTTTATTTATGCTTCTGTACACACAATTTCTGAGTATACTAAACACCTTGTCATCAACTTTACTGAATAGTACTGAATAGGCTATTTATAATTCTAATGAATGGGTGAAACTTTTTGCATGCAGTGTTATAGTTTATAGCGGGAATTTCCATTAGCAATGAAATAAATACTATTAAAATTGTTCATATCCATAACAGCTGTTTCAAGCGATTAATCTTAAAACCTCCGAAACTGACATGAAACAAACTAAACACAGTTCCCAACAAGCTACCTAAAGTTTACAATTTAATGGAGAATCTTCTGTAAAACTACTGAAGAGTGTCTCGTCTTCAGGTAGACTCCCACCCACTTTCTCTACACAACTAATAACGCGAAAATACTTGAACGATCTTAACATAGTTGTCCCCATAATGTATGTTCATCATATCGCTTGTTGCTGTGTACAGGAAGTCTGATCTGGGCAGTGCATAATCAAACATATTACGTAGGTTATGTAAACAAAGAGAACGTACCCTGGCGGTCCAATTTCGGAAAATCTGGTTGAGGCTACCCACCAGGTGAACATTAACCATTTTTAATGTTATCCACGCGGACATCCACTAACATCCGCACTGTTATTCGAAATCTAGTTAGTTGAATGGTTAACGGAAAGCCGTTTTACTTATGCAACTTCATTTAGTATTTCTCTGCTTGTATGAAGTTGGAAGTGTGAGTCGCATCCATGTAATGGTTCAGGTTGACCTTGGTACGAGAAACGTAGACAAAACAGACGAACAAGAAATAACTTGGGCATAGGTGAATTGTTTGTTGTAGAAAACGGTAACACCCGAGTACGCATCCTCAGAAAAGCGCATAGATTCAAAATGTAACCAACACTAGTGTCGTATACATCGTGTATATGCTCTTAGGTTAAAGCCTTGGCATTTAATGCTGACTTGAAACTCTCAATTATATTAGTTATCAGAAAATTACTGATTAGGTGACCACATAGAAGTAAAATTCACTCTTTTCAATGCGCAACCATGATAAAGTTATAATTCCTTGTATGTACGTAGGTTTTCTGTGGATTATTTCCATAAAAGCCAGTTTTGCTACCTTTTCCAAAACGCCAAATAAGCAATTAAGAGGCTTCTGACTTGATAATTCCCAAAGTTACTATAGGTTTGAGGATAAACCACCACTTATGGGATAGGTAATTCATTTTACTTCAAACACTTCACCATAATAATTTGTCTACTTGAATTTTGTTTGTTTTCACTCTAAGCCATTGTCATAGCTACAAACAATAAACATTACAATGTCATATTCGAATCAGAGAATAAAGCTTACACTTCTGTGTGGTCACTAAGTACCTTATTTTATCCGCACAGCACTAATTGAGTAGTGGTCGAAGTGATTTATTATGGGGTAGTCTCATGGTGTTTGCTTGTGAGACCGAAATTATGAAGAGATTGAGTTACAGCTATAGCTGTCTCAATGGTTAGGCTGATCAGCGACGTACAAGACAAACCCGATGCGTTCATGGTTTAAAGCAAATAGAACTGCTTCTTAAATATACATGATAAAATCTGAAATGCATACATTAATGATGGTCACTGGGTGGATTACTGTTATTTATTGACAATACTTTGGACTGTTCATATCAGCTGTTGCGCAGATGTTTATGTTTCCGTGCCAATAGGATTTCCAACCATATGTTTCCTAAAATATGCTGCGAATAGCCAACAGTGTTATGTGAGAGCTTGTCCTAAGTAAGAAAACGGAAAAGGCTTATCGAATGACTTGGAAACGTTTTGTGGCCTTTACTTTCGTGTCATTGTCTTTTGGAAATAGTAACAACAGAGGAGAATAGTTGTTAACTTTTTTACTACTGGCAGAACAACATGTATTATTTGCTGGTATTGTGTTTGGCTGTTATTCTCTTCACAGATTACTTTTCCCTGAAAAGTCAAAGTCTACATAAGTAAAATAATGCAGAAATTTTAATGATGATTAGGTTTATGGAATCTGGTTTATCACGATGTTATGAAACGGTATTTTGGAAAGTCATTAGGGAAGTAAGGGAAAGTAGAAGAATTTACATTCGGAATTTGTACTCACTATATTTCTCATAAATTGAGACTTTCAATTATATAACTAATTGAATTCCAAAACAGTCATAGAAATTATGACATACTTTATTAATCAAGTAGATCAATATGCATGGTAAACCTAAAGTATTACATAGTTGAAGATGGACGCTGTCGATAGTATTCAACTACTCTGAAGGAAAGTTTTGAAATTTTTTTTCACGAATGTATCTTTGTACTCGATTAAATATCTATCGACAGTTGACTGAAGGTTGAGTTATTTACTGTATCTACTCTGAATGTTATAGCTACATTGGTATCAAATATTCAATTTTGTGTCATTTTATGTTCAGTTTGTGTTAAGGGTACCTTCTTGTGATTCCTTTCAGTTGGATGTCAAAGGTGAATCACGGTTTGGTGGGAAGGTAACAGCCATGAAGAAGTTTCAGGATATCGATCGTATGGCCACAGCGGATAATACTAGTTCACGTTTACCAACAATCCACCAAAACTGTATTAAGTAAGTTCAACTTTTATCGTTTTGCCTAAATTTTACTCAAATGATTGTTTTTCATTTACCAGTGTGATTGTGCTGGAAAATTTACCGTAGTAGGGCATTGTTTGTGTGTGATAGGGAAAGCGTGGAATACATCTATACGTCTCATCGTATGCAGTAGCCTGTAAATCTAAGTCACTATCTGTCAGCAGAATACGATAAGTACGAAAAACAATACAAGAAATAGTAGCCAAAAATAGAGCAGGGAAGTTTCAATTAATATCTTCGACATTTCGTTCATTGGTCTGTAGGATTAGAATGACCAGCCTCGGAATATGCGATTCTAGTAGAGTAATCTCATGCCTGTATTAGGATTCTGTTTTCACACTCATTAGTGACTGACCACATGTTTGCGTTCTATCTTCTATGTAATGTGTTATAATGTGGTGAGTTGCATTGTGGTTTGGCGTATATTAATAGATGAGGGAGGAAAATCAATCGATTAGGTTGTGAAGCTACATCGACGCAGATAGCTAGGACACGTATTACGCAGAACTAGTCATCACCTTCCTCACCCAACCATATAAGCCGACGTACGATTAAGTAAAAAAGTTTAATATTTGTCAAGCTAAACAGATGGCCTCAATCCATGAAGTCTTCAACTGTTGGTCTGAGTGAACCACGTAAAGTAGTGTGGACTATGCGACCAGAGTCCTCGTGACACTAAGAACCAGTAACTCGAGGCTGTTGGTAACATGACTGGAAGTTGTTCTCAATGGTAGAGATACACTCACTCTGTTAACTCCCAGATCCACTGAATTCTCATGACTATTCTGATTCTTCCTCCCATACATTTTCGTTGTAATTTCTGTTATGTGAGCTTTCTTCTCTGAAGTTATGTGTCGTGTGTTGAAGTGTAGCGGCTTGAACCTCTGCACTTTTATGCAAAGTACTGCCTTAAAGACTCAGCTGCTGTCATTCACGTTATATGCTTTCTTTAACCTATTAAATAAGTTACTATAAATCTCATATATTGATCTATAAAAAAGCAGTGTAAGTTAGAAGTTTATATCCAGGTTTCCTCTTTACTCTATATTTACCATATTAGAGGTTTGCTTTCATTGGTGAACTTGCCATCAGTTTTTTTGTAACAACAGAAACAATAAAAGGGGGCTCTATTGAAAAAGCGAAACGTAGTACTAATAAAGAACCAGATATTTCTAGTGGCATAACCGTTCTGTGACTGAATTGTATTTCTGTCCATAGCACATCTTGCATAGTTTCGTGATATGGAAATTACGTTTACGATATATTTTTCGAAACTTATTAACCCTTCGTTTTCCAAAATTTTAGCGAAATCCGAATTTTTAAAGGCGATAGGTCAATGGCTTCACAACTTAGTTCAATCGGACGTGATGGCAATTTGGTGATGTGGAATTTGCCTACTCTGTGCCAGCAAGTAGCGGAATTAAAAATATTTTAAAGACGTTAACTACTCAATTGCCCTGGAGAAAGCCATTATCTCTATCAGACATCTTGCTTTCACACTGTGATCAGTGCTTACAGACAACAATTCAACCGTGCTGCTGCTTTTTTTTATAACTTTGGTCACTTTTTTAACTTTTACCCTGAATAATTTCTGATTGTTTACTTGATTTCTTTATGAGTTGTGTGTGTGAATGTTTGTTTGAAAAAAAATGTTAATAATATATGCATGTATGCATTATACTCTACTCTTACTAAAGAGTAGGGTTTTCAAGTTGAATGAGATGAGTTTAATTTATTGGTATTAGGACAAGATGATTTTGAGTGAACAGTTGTTTTCGATAACTTCTTCTTCTGTCTTTATAGTTATCAATCCATGACTATCAAAATACAAACAGCCAGTAAAGGCAAATTAAATTTATATCAAAAAACTATCGGGGTACATGTTTAAGATGAAATGGTAGTCCGTTAGTTAACATGGTCAATTGAATGTACATAAAATGCATAGCCAATCATGATAAGATAAAATGTGAATAGACAACAGTCTGACAAACTACCACTACTACTACTTATAGTCAACAGGATATAAACTTCATGATGGTGCGGTTGGTGGTTTATATTCAATGATGTCCCGATCGATAGCTGCTACCTTGACGTGGTGGTCGGGCTTGCATATCGCAATGAACCAACAAGCTAAAGTGGCTGGAACTTTTGTTCCTGCAGGTCCTACCATGCCAGGAAGGTTGTTAGGATACCGATTAGACTAAAAGCAGTTACCAGCATAGTGTAAGAGTTTTTTACACTATGTTAGGGGTCCGTAGGCGAAGTCATACTACTAGGGAACAGGGATGTAACAGCAGTAAAATGTTTCCCTCAGATGGTCAGCATGCCAGCTATGCTGTCTCTCCACTTTGGAGAGAATGGGTTAGAAAAGGTTGACCCCGAAGATTGTACTTCCCGACTTACCCTTCGGTGCTCCGTAACCGGCGTAAGTTACTAATACGGAACCAATCCAAGAAACCAGTTCATACAGGTCGTGTGTGACCGGCCTCAAGTAGTTGTCTCCTGGGCTCTGCGGTCACGCGACACCAACCCTCTTTCTGTTCCAGGTACCCGAGGAATCAAACAACTTCCACGGCATGGGCAGGCGGGAAGTAACCACCGCCCACACACTTCCATAAGCACACGAAGCCTTCCTGAACATCATTCTCCTTTACCCACATCACCTTCATGTCGCTTCCCTACTACAGTCAGTACTATTCTGCAGGTTAGTGAGTTGTCTTAACTTCACTCCATGACCACAAACAAAGATAAGAGCCGTAGAAACACCCCCGACAGCCTCTTAAAGCCATGCCGCCAACTTCATATAGGAGCATTCACCGTCATGGCCGTCTGCCAAATCGGACAACAGGCATCGCTAGGAAGAACTCTGGCATCTCGAGCCATAGATGTATGTTGTGTTTTGGAGACACGCATACAAGACCCGAGTGTGGTCATTCACTTAACCTCATCGGGCCAACAAGGTGAATCTGCCTCACACGCTATTAAAAGAAATCTGTCAATAACACAATTCAAGGTGAGTGGCGAAATCGGTAATCACCCCTTAACGACAGATAGTTTCGAACATTTGTAATAGGTAGTTGCTCTGTCACTCTACATTAGTGTCTTTTGAATAGAGGTTTCACGATGTGTACCAACCTAAGACAATCCTGAAATTGGTAAATGCAAATATTTTTCTACGATACATCGGATCGTGTTCTGTATGCCAAGACGGAGTTCATATATCGTCACTGCACCAGTAGCCAACACGTTATCCAGTCCTATCTTCAATATATATTTGCGACATCCTGTGGGAACTAATCTTCCTTAAGCTACTGCTAATGGTGTTACATCTAGTGATTATGAAATTCGTTAAATTAATTCGCATATATGGTTTCTAGTGCTTCCTCTTTGAAAGCTTGCATTAAAGACACTTTCCTAACTGGTAACTGACGCACTTATAACAACGTCTGTCGTAAGAATCCTGTATGGAGGTCTCGTAGGGTTCTATTCAAACTTTCTTGATGTCCAAATGAGGTTTAGATGTAATCTTAAGAATGCATGTAGTGCCACAACATACGAGTTGCATATTATACTGGTAGGCAGCTAATAGGAAACGTCACACCGAGGAGACCGTTGGTAAACTTCTTAGGCCAGGCCCTCGAGTGGAAAATAACTAGTTGGGTGGTGGATAATGAGGTGAGAGAGAGGCTTTCAGCAAGCGTGGAACCAGCTTAAAACGACTGAAGAGAACAGAATGAAATGAAGAAGCGCCTTTGAAGCCCTGTGTTCCATCGGGAAACTAAAGGAATGATAAATGAATAATAATTATATCAAGTAAGATAAAAAGATACAAACAAACCAGGATTTAAAGGAATTGTTAACTGGGTGAGATAAAGAATCAAGTAAAAGAGACAGTAAGTCCTGTCGTTACAAGAGGTACAGCGATCATTTAGCTGTGGTAATTTAGTTGGGTATGTACACAGTTTGCCACTGAATAACGTTTTATGACGTTGTAACTGACATGTTGAGTTTTGTATTACTGTTCGAGCTCTGGTATGCTGCTTGGATAGCTAATTCCATCTTGGAAGACCACTCCTTCAGTCGTCCGTTTGAAATTTAATCCATGAAGTAAAGATTCAAAGTTACTTGTTGTATTTCTGCGATAAGTGGTTTCATACATTTTGTGGTACTAGGGTTTTCCAAGTAGTTAAGGCTCATTATTCGTATCTGCTTACTATTCATCATCGGAAATTGCCAATTTCCACATTTGTGATCGAGAGATAATGGATTAAATTATTTTAACCCTTACCATTCATTCGTAATGACATTTTAATTGAGGATAGAGACTCATACTGCAAGCCGGAGTTCTGAGCACGATACTGTCAACTGTAAGTGCACTCCAAAATATTGTATGGTACCAACCATGCTACTAATAAGTAGTAATAAAAGGTTTGTGAAACATTCGCAGCTGGAAGGTGAAGTTCAAACTTTGCATTCAAGTACGTCTTAGATGTTCGTCGTGGTAGCATAAACCATTCAGTTTTCTAGTAATAAATTAGGAACCCGAAAACACGACACATGTTTGTTACTCTGAAATCAGTGTGGAGATCCACAGCATTAAATATGAGAAACAACATCCGAATTTTTAACACTGATGTCAAGTTAGTGCTTCTGTGTCATTCAGAGATTTAAAGCGTCAATAAAAGCATTTCAATCAGTTACATCTCTGTTTGCAGCCTTTAATGCTTTTCTTATCAACTATGAGATTTCTGTCGTTGAAGACTTAATGCCAACTGATATTTTAACCTTTTAAACTTCAATCCGTCCGTGTTACTAGAAACCTCATTATGACTACGGGAATTTGAGTCAGTAGATTTCAAGAATTGCACGAAACAAGAGAAGAAAGAATATTTGAAATTCAAAAAAGTACTTGTTGCATATGGCCTTAAATTCTATTTCAAGTCCATTAAATTCTCTAAAGAAAGATCTAGTTATATTGAAAAGTATTATTCTTAAAAGGACCTAAAATGAAGGTGTTTATAGAATGAAATGTACGAAGTGTGAGTGCAAGTCACGGTTAACGAACACAAACTATGAACAAATCGTCCGTATAGAAATGTAGCAGAACTGAAAATTCTCGAAAAAAGATCACTTAAAAATTCACAGAATAGAAAGTGAGCATAAGACTGATTTTGGTTATGTCAAAATATGAAGAAACGGGTTACACTCACATTAAGAAAAGTTGACCTATGAAGTCTTGTATATTTTACCTACGTTGAATGCAAGAAATATGAGGGAAGGAATACACTCATCACACATACAGCAGACTAATTCAACAAAACAGAAAGGGTCACTGAGTGGAGTCTCAGTAGCTGAGAAGTCTACGAGCTTGTCTTGTGGCCGGAGGTTCGAAACCCAGTGGGTACGTACCGACGATGAGTCCTAAGCCAGGACGAAATAACCATCCAGTACTTCCTGGTTTTCAGTGGTTCTCTAACTTATATCAGTCCATCGTCAAACTTCAAAACAAAACACAAAGATGTCTCTTAAGTTTTTAGTCTTTTAGCAATGACCAGAATTGTCATCCATGAATTGACATGTTTCCCCGTAGAATAAACAATACACATCTAGTTTAACTATTTAACAATTATAGGTTGGCGATAACAATACCAATATATGATAACTAGTCACATTTAATCCGTATCTGTAAGTATTCAGCCACAGATGACCTTAACACAAGTTCATTTGATTTTATATACTATATGACCATATATTTTCATGTTTAATACAATCCAAGCAATTCTTTTGAGGAAGTTATGCTATACAGAGAAATGTCCACAAAAGTCCTGTTCTTATTTTCTAAACACACTGAGATCCTCTTAAGCAATTTTTATAATGATTCAGTCAAACTCAACGCTCAAATTATCTCAGGAAATTCTTTATATTTACTACGAATAACTCTTATCTCAGTAAAAAAAATTATTATTGACAAAAAGTGGGAGAAAATTCACAATAAAAACAAAGAAATAACTGGTTACATTAATAAATAAATAAATTACAAACAGTTCAAAAATCAATCCGGTTCATGGGGTAAAGCAGTTCTCTTGGGGAAAAATGCATGATCCAACGGGAAGTGTAGTAAATTTGTTATCCTTGATGTATACAATGTAGCATATTGTCCAAGACGTTGTGAAAAGTACGAAGGATTATGAAATGAACGAAAAATACTTCCAAATTGAGGATCAAATACAAATTTACTTGAACGTCTTAGAGCATTTCGTTCATCAAACCATTGTTCAAGTAATGACTTGGCTTCGGGTGAACTGACATGCTGATAAATATTTTTTGGAAAAAATAAACAATATTCAATAATTTTGTAGAAGTATTTTCAAGATTCTTTGAATTAGAAATCGGTCTAACCATATGTATTATCTACAACAATAGGTTTGACAATGATAACCATAATTATTATTGATTACAGAATATGATCATGAGCTGACATCAGTTAGTGAACCATTAGACAACTTGGGAATACTGGACAGCTGTGTCGTCAGTCTAGTTTGGGATTCTTTAACAGTACGTACCCACTGCCAGGGTTCGAGCCCAGGACCTTCTGGTTACAGGCGAGCTCGTAGACCATTAAGCCACTGGGACCCGATCCAATGGCCAGCCCGTGAATTTCAACTCCTGCCAATTCACTGCATAGCGCGACCACTAGCCAAATGTCTTCTGCAAGCATCTATCCTCACACCCGAACTGCTGTACCCTACTGGTTCCGGGTTTTCCAATGGTGCTCTAATCAATGTCAGCTCATGATGAAATTCTGTAACCAATCAATCAAATCCTTACGAACCAATACTTGCATAATAATTATTGTTGATAACACTATCTGACTTAACTACACAGAAGAGAAGAAAAGAATTCTGACCATATAAGTCAAATGAAAATGAAATCGGGGTACATAGAATTGTACAAGTCAGATTTAACAGAAAATAGATTGCCTGAAGGTCTCAATAATATGAGCATTTTTAGTGTTGTTTTATTGCATTATTCAACGGAACAAAATACTCTGACCTACAAAAATAACCGGAGATTTCATTGTAATGAAACACAAAATTTGTGAAAAGAGTTAGTTAGAACCTGTGAGATTTCAGTGGGCATTTTGGAAGTCGAAACATTCAGACTATAATGAGAAATGTGACCGTAAGCTCGGTTTTAACGTGCATTGGGATTTCTTGTAAGCTTTACTTATTTAATTTGACAAACGATTTCACCAGAGAATCCAGTGAATGAGCTATCCATTTCTGTAAGAGATTATACTCTGTGGTATACACTCATTTCCTTTATAGACTTCCAGTCAGTTTTTACGAATGTTGTGACTTTTGATATGTATTCCTTGTGGATTTCAAGATTGTTAGTTTAGTCCACTTTCATCATCATTAGTGAAATATTCAGATGCAAAATCTAGACTTCAGGTAGTTGACCAATATTTTCTTCACAACATCACCTACGTACAATAGGATTACCATATACAACTTAGTGAATACGTTAAGAAAATGAATTATTTAATGTGATCATGAATTTTTTAAATGATGTAATACGTGTATGTCTCGTATGTGTGTAAAGCCAACATCTACTTGAACGGATGTCGGTATCCAGAGGAAAATTGAGTCAAAATAGAACATATACGCTAGCATATACTACTGGTTGATTGTTATGAGTAGTTAGATACCATTCACATCAATCAGTAGTACTCACTAGCCAGGTCTAATCTAAGTGATAGGAATGGAAATTGTAACATTCCTTCTAGTTGTGTTCCGATAAACCATTGAAACTGGTGACCGTAGAATTTCGGTGACGCGTCTCGAAATTAGTCGTATCGGTGAGTATGCACACAAAAGGTGTGAATCTCAGAGGTCTTATTTTTATGTATATTCTTAGCATCACATTAGAATAGCTTATATCGTTATGCCTATTTCCCTAATATTTACTTCAACCTGTCTATGAGGATCTAGAATGTTGTATATTTCCTTTGCTGTTCTGCGTACTGATCGAGATAAAAAGACCACACGACAAATTTTGAATTTATGAGGTAGCTGTTCAATTACAATCCCACTAGCGTTCACTTGATCAAAATTTTTTGACAGCTCTAGTTATCACAGTTTTACCGATAGACATGACAGGCTAAACAAATGCATATATATATATATATATATATAATGTACACTGAATTAGAATTCAACCAAAATACCTCTTTACATTTTAAACATTAAAAAATAGCAGTACATACATTATTGAAAGTTCTGTTAAAACCCGTCTGTCTCAAAAACCATAGGACATTCATCTTTTTGGCTAATCAATACACATATAGACATCAGCTGTCATTTAACTCTATCATGGATAAGATTTTATTTTGACAAAGTCACACAGTGTTGTACAGTAATATTTACTGATGACGATATTTCGAGCACAATTTATTGCTCATAATCATATCAAGTCACTCACACAACTTTTTTGCTTCATTTATATACATGGGTAAAAACTGAATAGACATTTGAATAAAATCAAAATAAGATAAAGCACATTTGGAAATAATATTCGTGTTAATATATAAGCAAACAGACGGTGTATTAATGGGATCACCAATATCCCCTATCGCAGCAGATATCTTTATGGACAGCTGGGAAAATATTGCTCTAAATACATTTAATCCTACTCCAAAAATATGGTGGAGATATGTGGATGACGTTTTCACAGTGTTAAAAACAGAACATATTTGTAGCTTCTTGAAGCATATAAACTCACTAGTAAAGGGAATCAAATTCACATTTGATTCGGAGAATGTACAAGGAGAATTAGCTACAGATGTTAGATTGTAAAATAAAACGAACAGAAGAAGGTATACTGCACACTAGCGGCGTTTATAAAAAGCCAACGCATTCTGTTACTAGATATTTAGACATTAATTCATTTCATCTGTTGTCTGTAAAGGCTGGCTTAGTTAAGTGTCTGACAAACCAAGTAGTAGTACTAAGTGGTACAACAAAAAACCTAAACGATGAAATGAAACAGTTAGAAGAAGCGTTGGCATCAAAAAACTATCCTATAAAATTCATTAGGAAGATCAGAAAACGTCAAAATGAAAATAATTGGGAAAATAATAATGATAACATAAATAAGAAAGAATATAAGGCATCTACAGTTCTGCCATATAAGGAGGGGACATCTGAGACCCTACGTAGGATTCTTAGAAGGGCAGGAATTAGGGCGGCATTTAAACCTAAAAACTCACTCAGAGACAAGCTCTGTAGGCTTAAAGACCTGGTAGACCCAATCAAACAAAATACTTTGCAATGATTGTGAGGTTAACTACATGGGCCAGATTAGTAGATCAGGAGTAGTGAGATTATCAAAACATAAGAACTTAGTTAAGGTAAGAATGATTGATCCCACGAAGATAGGTAATCTAGGAAAAAACTCAGCAATAGCACTGCATGCATTAACACACAACCACACAATATGGTAGGACAGAGTCAAAATTCTAAAAAGTAATGTAGGTAGGTGAAGAGAGCGATTGATTACTGAATCCTGCTTCATCAAGTCTACACCCAACACATGCAATTAAAGTGACTCAACACAAATACCATCCATGTGGAAGATATTACCAGTTAAATCAAAGGACAATAAATAATGTTAAAGTGTATTTCAATTCACATTATAACATTCTGACAAGTTACTTATTTTTACTCTAGAAAATATCTTATTTCCCATCTTACTGACTAACAACACTCATCTTAGCTCTCATCATATTATATTAATTGATAACACTAATATTGGTCCCGAATGTACTTTATCTTATATTGATTTTATTCAAATGTTGATATGTAGTCACATGATGTCTGCTTTTGTTTTGACAGTCTATTGCTATGCGTGTATTGATCGATATTCCATTATAACTCACAATATGCTTTGTCTGTCCATTAACTAAATACACAATGTATGATCTTTTTGTCACATGACATTACAACCAATCAGAATCCAATGATGGTAAGAAAAACTACTGTCTATCTTATTGGTTCATATATAGTAGTCATTTTCACATATACTCTTGCATTGTACACTTTTGTATACTTTTCCATTCTCTTTCACACCTTTCGTACTTTGGTACTTTCACTCACACTTTGTGTGACAGTTATTTCCCTTGTGGAAAATACACGTATCATCGTGAACGTGATAGTTTTCTGATTCGTCATCTTCGCGTCAGGACAAATAAACTACTCAGCAATACTAGTCTGTACGTTATCGTCCATCATATCTCATTAGCGTATATTTACACTCGGTCACACCCTAATATCGGCAACGACCCCATAACATATTGACGACGAGTACATAACAAATGTCTAATCAATTTTCACTCATGTATATAAACGAATCAAGAAAGTTATACCAGCAACTTTAATATGATTATGAGCAATAAATTGTGCTCGAAATATCGTCATCAGTTAATAATACTGTACAACACTGTGTGATTTATCAAAATAAAGTCTTATCCATAATGGAGTTATACTTTACGACAGTGCGCAAGTTTTATACTTATAGCTGTCATTTAGTTTTGGTGTTCTGAAAAGTAATTTTTGCAATAGGCTGTTGATATTTGATTTCTTAATTTCACGTAAATTACACTGACATTAACTTTAACACTAAGAAGTGGCTGGCAATAAATAAACTTACTTGATTCTCTTGGATTAGCTTCTCCAATATTCTTAGGCGTCTAAGATTCATTTTAAAGTCAGGATCATTGGCAGCAATGAGTTCTTGTTCCAGTTCAGGTATAACAGCTCCAGTCATCCAACCATATATACTCGCCACATCCTAGTAATGTACATAATCACAAAGATGCATAAAAGAAAGGCTGATATGATGAGAACATGATTGAAACCAGAACAGACGCCTATTTGACGTGCCTATGAAAATGATATTCATAGGTGGCAAGCCAAGAGGGAAACTGACACAAAGGTACACTGGCCCACTTTGTTACACTTCGCAACAGTACATACACCACATTCTAGTCAAAACAAGGATGCTATTAGAAGAACGTAGAAGTCAAGAGAAGAAAAGAATAGACGAATGAAAAATATGCCCTGTGGAGTTCCCTATTTATCAATCTCTCTTCAAGTGACTTGGGATTTTAACACTGCATTGTATCATTAACAGAGTAGTACTGAGCAGTCAACCAGTTACGACATTTGGAACTAAATCTAAAAGTGAAGATAACCCATAGACTAATATGAATATTCGAATATGCCCATCACTTACTCAGAACAAAAATTATTATTACAGCAAATAACTGTTTTCGATAAACTTCATCAGACTCTGCAGTTAATTATACATTCATTAATGTTGGCATGTGATTATAACAACCAGTAAAGGTAAATTAAAATTATAACTATGGAGTAATAGTCAGGTTGTTTGGATTATCACTTAAATGCAAGCAAAATGAAGGATCAGTAAGAATATGAGATTTTAAAAAATACTTGAAAAACGTCATTTTGAATTTGTAATAAAAAGAAGTACAGGTGTAACAACAGAAGACAAGAGTCAGGCAACAGATCGTTTATTAAGGAAATTAAAGCATATTTATATATTTTCATGTACATTATTATAGTTTAGTTAAGCAAACAAACACAGTCTTCTGATTCGTTGTTTCTCACTTAAAGTTAATCTTTCATCTCTTTGTGGCTGTTTCTTGAATGTCAGATCATCTATATGTTAACTGTGTCCGCCTACGCAAAGTCTGCTGTGGTCGGTTTTGAATCAGTCTTGTTCATATTTTCTCACGTCCAATCTTGAGAACGTAAACATTGACGTCAATTACCGTCTACCAATTCGGCTAGTAGACAGCTCTCACCACACAGGTTTTAGGATTATGAGAGAAAAGATGATTACTAATTAACAACTATTTATAATCTCATGTGCTTATAACCTCTGCATTTTATTTCCATCTATACTATTATTAAAACTATCTGGCTGTTAGCCTACCTTGTGTTAGTGACTGATTACAGTTTTTGAAGTAATTTAGGCTTGCCTTTACTGGTTATTATATACTAACATTAGTGAATTTATAACTGAACAGCCGGTATTGAAAACAATTGTTTGCACTAGTTATTCTTGTTCTGAATACTTCCATTTTCTACATAAAGAGTAGTGGTAGTTGGAAACTATTTACAAATGTCGCGAAAATTTCCAATTTTGTACTGCCTACATCTTACTTTATATAATACATATACATATATATGCACGGTCTTGAGGAAGTCTTCTTAAATCAAATACCCTTACTTCTGCGAAATTCGTTAAAAGGCCTTTCATCAGATCACCTCCACCAACTAAACTAATAACGATCACCTCTTCCTTGGAAAGTAGATGAGGAATACATGTTTCACATTATATTTAGGATTATATTCCCCATATTATTAATTTTTTTGGAAGTGTTAAAAAAATAATAATAAGAAACACCAGGGTTGAATGCAGTTCGGAAATGAGCCGACCAAGATTGATCATTACTATCCCATCTTTGAGTTCAGAGTGGGATTGTAGGCCTTCGGTAGCACATTTCCATTCCACTAAGTTTTTTTACTATCACTATTAACAGGCTCTACGACTACCTAAAAACTTTCATTTCCTCTCCACATGATTTTCTTCATATCTCCGTCAGATGTCCGACTCGTCGCTTCTCTTTTCCGGGTTCCATTCGAGACCCTGGGGTGTGATGTTACCCAATGGTATCTTCAATGTAAGTCCAATACGTCTCCATTTTTCCTTCTGAGTTTATGGTAAGCAAGCTATAGATTCTTGAATAACTTTGATTAATAGGGAAACTGATAGACAACCGATACAGCTAACCCTTTCAAAACGCTCACTATTTTGGGCTAGAATTATGCACTATTTTATAACTTCTCAGTTTTACGATGTATATACTTCCGGGTCATCTATACGAACGCATTATCCTACTTGTCTCAATGTGATCTTGATTAGTTAGCTGGCTGAATGAATCAACTAGGAATTGTAGAACGCTGATGACAGACAGCCAATATTCCTGCATAACCGTGACTGTAACAGTTAGTGAGTTTTCGTGACAAAATATCAAAGCAATAAAACAGGAACCGCAGAAATCACTTACTGCAAGATCTGCATACACATGATCTCCAAAGTATAATATGCTTGCTGAAGACCATCCAGTAAGTTTAATCATTTGTTCTAAACAACCCTGAAAAAAAGTGAAAGCACATACCACACAATTATTTCTTTTATTTTGTTTTTGAGGTAATTAATGAATATATCTCATTTAAAATATAGTTCTACAATTACACGTACATATGCTATTAGGGAATCTACGCAGAAGTTGCCGTATTCTATTAGTCCATAGGAATCTGGCGTACTCAATTTAGTTTACTTAAGGCAAAAATGGGATTTAGAGAAGGTTTAGCACTCTTGTATTTTTCAGTTTTCATGGAGTTAATTTGGTAATGAAAGCGGAAATATTCGAGATAAAAACCTTTTAACTGCAACTTTTTGGTAGATTTCTGTGAGAAATTTGACGCTAAATCGCCTTTTATCCATTCACCTAGGATGTACTAATTTAACAGCAGAAGGCATGACACGGAAGTAAAGGTATATTTTCAACTGATCAAACCGCTATTTATACAGTTTATATTCTTTAACCGATCACAGCTTGTGATTTTGGTTTACATTAAACGACATGAAATAGAATGTTCAAATATGCATAGTACTCTGTTGCTAATGCGGTATTGAACTGTGTGAATATGTGAAATTAATAATCCGTTGGAACACATTGTCTGTATCATACCACCACACTAATACATTCATTAAGTAATTACATGTAAGAAACACTGAGATTTAAGTGACAAAAGAGTAACTACGCTGAGGATAGAAGTAAATACATTCAAATGAAAAAAAGTTAAAAAAAGGACATACTCCTTCATACATTTGACCTCGTTTAAATGCTTGTACTGCTTCCCAGTGTTTAAATGTACCACTCACATCAGTACGTCGAAACTGTCTGTAAAATGTTGAAGGATAAATAAAGAAGTAATGTAAAATAGTACCTGTAGAATAACTGGATGGAAAATCATGCTCACAGAAAATGTATTTACATAAACACAATCGCTTTTCCAGCACCAAAATACAACTAAGACTAAAGTAAGTAGATTACGGTGAATTAAAACAGACAGCTAATCCACTAATGGTTGCTCAAGGTCTCCTGAGTGATGCGCCCAAGCAGGCTCTAGCACTATTTCACACTACCCTTTGTGCAAGTTAACAACCACACTGCCAGAGTTCCTAGCGTAGCTATTGTTTAACCTTTTCCCAAAATCATCTTAATCCTTAATTCTGTCGAAATATATTGCTCCTAGGAGCATAGATCTATATAATGTGGTTTTTTGATTTCTGTTTTGACACTAGTACTTACAATTAAATGGGTAATAGAGCATACTAATTTTCAGTAGGACCTACAACTTACAAACTCTTAAGTATGAGTGGTTCTGAGTAATTCTAAAAATGAATCCTTACGCAAGCGGGATCGTGTTATTTCTTTGTCTCATAGTAATGTAATGTAACAGTAGTTCTTGAGTATTAAATTCCCTATTCACCTAAATTCGCCTATGCTTTTACAAATACTGTTTTGCTTTATTTCAGTAGCGTTGCATCTGACTATCTCATAGTTCCAGTGGTAGAGCTTTGGTTGACATTTTAGTCAACAAGGTCAATACATACATTTCCCACTGTTTTTTCATATAACGTACCATATTACCAACTAATAAAAAGTAGTATTGTATATATCCGATTGATTTCGTCGCTTTAAACATTACACGTGTTATGGATCACCTAGAATAATTTGAGTGCCGAGTCCGATTGAATCCTTAAAACAACAAAACAAGATTTTTCTGAACGTTTTGCCTCATAAGCCACAAGTTTCTTCAGCAGAATTCGTCTGTGTTTGTTAGTTATGTTGTCGAGTTTCCATTGGCATTTCAATTTATAATAATGGTACAGATTTATGGTGGACAAAGGTCTCGACAATTTATGTGTTTTTGCGAAACAAAGTCTGACAGATGGCATCATATAACACAAGAAGTTATATGCGAAGAAGAGCAGTCATTTCCAAAAGAATTGCATCGATGCTTTCAAATTTTACCCTTCTAGAGAACAAGCTCTTATTCTGATGAATCATATTTGTGTTGGGAATGATTCACCCACCAGTTTACGAATTCGCGCAGTAGGTAAGCTACATATTATTTTATTGTATAAGGCATCATTATTATACTTTTTAAAGAACCAGATTTGGATTTTTAACACTAATACCGAGTCAGAGCTTCTATACGGTTCAGAGACTTGGCGCGTCACGTAAAGCATCTACAACAGGCGGCTGCAGACATTTTTCAACAGCTACCTTCGCTCCATAGAGAAGACCAAGTGGTCAGACAGGGTTAGAAACATGGGTCTCTGGAAACGAACCAACCAAAAACCTACTGCTCAACAAATAGGTCGGAGAAAGTGGAGATGGATCGGTCACATGTTGGGGAGACCTTTGAGTAACAAAGGGCTTCGCGTAGAACCTCGAGTGGAAACCTAATAGACGGAGGTTGACATGGAGATGATTGTTTGAAGTGGAGATGCAAGCTTATGGGTGATCATGGAGCAAGCTAAGGAGGCCTGTAGAGAACAGGATGAAACGGAGGTCATGCTGGAGTCCTATGTCCCACTAGAGACCTAAGGGAATAATAGTAATAATTTCGAAACTCCCTAGACCTGCTAGAAATAGTCGGGTTAGACTGTGTGATACCGTAAGATATACTTGTACCTTATCAACTAAAAACAAACAGTAAACCGATTGTATCCAATATTATAAACTGACACTATTATAAGGTATTATAGATGCAGCTAACCTAAATCAATACATCCACACGGTAAATAACACTCACAATTAAAAAAATGTGACGTTTAACTTTTGCAAGGCACTTCAGTCACATATCGATGGTCAGTAGATAGGAAATTCACTAAAGTTCTACGGAAAGTGGAAACTTATATCCCCATGCCAGTTTCATACAAGCCACAAATATTACCATTGCATTAGGATTCAATGCATTCATTAAACTTCGGACAAACTAGTCATTTGAGAAATCCACTATATGGAATTTACAGGGCGATATGTAATAAAAAAAATGCTAGTTGGTTTAAATCTACCATGGTAGTATCCATTACCTTACTATTATCATTATTATTATGGGAAATATTAAAAAGACCTTTGTTGAGAAAAAAGTTTTCTTTTCGACGAAGTCATCAATTAGACTGTATATTCGGGCATTTATAGTAAATAGGTAAGAAACTCCCATCAAGGGGCAAATTAACAATATTACAAAGTGTAATAAACAGGAAGATCGGATAAAAAACGTAGTAGGATCACAATAACTAAGAAACTTGACTCTGTGCAATTTAAGCATTGAAAACTTAGTAAGACCAAAATAGATAGAAATTTAAAAGCCGAGCGTAAAAATAACAGAAATAAACAGGATGATTGCATTAGAAAGGTAATAGGGAAGTCGTTATTGAGAGGACTGACTTTTAATGATGACCCCATGGTTGGTAGAGACAATGGTTGAACGTATTTCTTTTGAATACAGATAGTGTGGGCTTGAACTTCTCGATCACTAATGCCTGAGCTATTCCCAGATGCCTTGATTTCACTCCCTTTGATAGGTTTCATCATCGGATCTTGTATATGACTTTGAAGGACTTTTCAAATGGAGCTGAATGTCTTGAATTCACCAGATGTTCTGTAACCGAATTGTGTATACCCTTGTGTTCTCCCACTGTTAACCATGGTGGATAGTGTTCCCGAGAGCATTTTACAAGCAAAAGCATGATACGGCCAATGTACTCAGCTCTGCATGAGCAAGTGAACTGGTATAGGCATGCTAAAGTGGCCCAATGCGACAGCTTGTCTTCCATGTGCTGGTTGAATAGTTTTTTGCAAGAAAATGTTACTCGTAGGCTAGCACGGAAGAATATTTTGCGGAAAGATTATGGGGAATTTCTTTCATCGACCCGAGGATCTTTACCAGACATTTCGTGATTAAGTGATAAGGAGAATTTACCATATCTAATATTAGGCGGAGTGGGACGTCTTATTTGTGCGCCGCTGTAGAACCAAATGGGTCAAGTTTAGTTCCGTACTAATACTGGATTCATCCTTCATTTCCTTCAATATTTCTGTCAGCTGGAGTTCCGTCTTTTCAGTGAGATCTTTTTGAAGCGGCTGTTTTTGAAATTTCTTGTCATCAGGTGGTCTCACCGAGAGTTTACCTAGATAGTCTGATTTGTTTAGTAGGACAATTTCGGAACCTTTATTTGGTCGTCTCATGGTCAAGTTTTCATTTTCCTTCAATTCTTCCAGCTGATTTCGATGTTCTTTGGACAGATTATTACGAAAGTTAGGTTTTTTGTTAATGTAATCTCAACAGCAATTTAAAATGATTGATTTGAAATGGTCTGCATTGTTACATGAGATTGGGACTTTAGTGTTCAACTTCGTTCATTTTTGACGTTGCATAACAAAACTTAAGTCCAAGTGCTAAGATTTGTATTTGAATTGGAGATAGTGAGACGTCAGAATAATTGAACACGTATTTTTCTGGGAAAGTAGGAAAAAATTGTTTCCTTGGTAATAGGCTTTAGACTTTGGTTTAGTTTCATGATGACATCATCTGTTCTTTTTATTGTAATTTTAATGGCACAGTTCTCGAATGATGTTCGTCCAACTTCAGATAACTCATAGGGAAAGTGGGAGTTTTTCTAGATATTCTGCTCCAGTTCAGATAGTCTTGATTGGACGGCATCGATATGACTCAGGGTGTGTCCTTTCAGCGTACGTGACTTGGGGGATATATGATTTTGTCTGAGATGCTTCCAGAATGCTTTAGGATATTCATACTTATCCAGATAATTCTTTCAGAAGGAGATCTTCGCATTCGCTTAAACAAGTTTGACGGACAAACGTAGGGACTTGTTCAGTTCCTTTACCATCATACGGTTCTTGTTATTCTTCAGATTACGGAATAAACATTAGATCATAGGAAATATTAAAAAGACCGTTGCAGCGAAGAAAATTTTCTTTTCGACGAAGTCATTATTATTATAATCAAACTGGGTGAAACTACAGTCTGTCAGTATTGTAATAAAAATAATATTTTTTGTTGTCTTCATTACCACTCCTAACTCGTTCCATTATTATTATTATTATTTCATCCTATAATTCCTAATATTACTGCGTTCTGTCACTGATAAAAAAATTTGTTTATTCCCGTGATGACACAATGGAACTGTAGTCCTTAATGATAATAACTTTCAACCTTTTGTATCTTGGCGACATCTCGACTTTACCTTTGAGCTTTAATTTCTCTCTGTTTTTATATATTTGTCACACACCGCCCTATAAATTTCACATAAGTTATATGAAAAGGTGAGTGTATTGAGTATTCAACTGACACATTTTCCTGATATTTGATGATTTCATTATATCCTGCGTCAATATCAAAACGTATAAACTTGTTTTAAAATGAGATAAGTCGAAGGTATATAGGAGGAGTATAAAAAGAATTTAAACTAACCCCAATTGTGATTTAAAAAATGTCGGTTTGTTTGCACGAGAAATGATTACATCGAATAATTCTTGCCAATCTTCTCCAATCAAAAATCTTAGTCCTCGATCACTATGGCATGCAAGTAACACAGATGATATAATTCAAATTAGTTAATAACCAAAATGAGACAAGACAAGAGACATATATACTACAATTTAATTAACTAAATAGACAGAATGTTATAATGTCTTGTTAACACTTATCAATTAATTATTAACTTTTGCATGTATTTGTATTCTTTGGATTCACTAAGAGAGGCATTTTTAACTTGAAAAGTACAAATCATGGAAGTTGTAACTTAGACCTAATTGTTTGCATTTCATTTGTTTAAGTCTCCTGACCAATTTTTATTTTTTTCACAGAGGTTGATTGCGATACATATATGAAAATTAACGAAAAGCTAGAAACATATGATGTAAAACTTACATGTATGCAGCTGAACTATTTGATATTACAAATAGCTTCCTGTCATTCTCCACTAATCGGCATAGAAATTTACGCAGTTGAGGTTCTTTTACAATGTACTTTTCTATAAATTAATTATAACACGGTCGGAAAAATGAAATTTCTTTATTAAGTTCGAAGGTGACCTTGAAGGAAACTTCATCAAAGTAGGACAGTAATTGAAATACCGAAGGATTTTATTCGAAACCAGTACTTTCGCGAAATGACTAATTATTGTTTGTTAATTTTATAATGATGTACGAAAAACAAATTTGTATATTATTATTATTATTGTTCCCTTGGGTTCCGAGAGGAAAATAGGACGTCAACAACGCATCCTCACTTCGTTCTGTTTCTTGCTGTCCTCTTCTGCTGGGTCCACGATTGCTCATAATCTCTCATCTCCTCCTCCCCACATGATCTCCTCCATGTTACCCTAGGACGACCCGCTTGTCACTTCCCATTTTGGTTCCACTCCAGCGATGGCCTGGCGCACGATGTTATTCGACGGCCTCCTCAGCATATGGCCAATCCATCTCCATTTTCCTCGGCTTTTGATTGTTTTGTTGCTAGAGTTTTTTTGCTAATTCTTTCTGGCAAGTCATCTGATCTTCAGTACTAAGCGGAATCAACTGTTGGTAAAAGTCTGTAGCCTGTTGAAAATGCTTTTCGTGACGCGCCAGTTTAGCTTAGTGAAAAATGTTAGGTGTTTCGTGCTTCTTACCTTTTAAATCATTAAGAATACAGGAAAGGCGATTATCACAAGGAGTGTTAAAGTTAAACCATATTACTTTTCTGACTGTCTGACAAACTAACCTAGAAATTCCGTCGGAAGTGAGCACAAATCATCGACTACTACATTATGCTCCCTGTTTAACTTGCTATACCAAACATTATTATTACAGAGAATACTGACTCAAACACCCTTTAATTGGAAGCGGGATAACATGATGATGCCAGCTGATGAAAAACGAACTATGGTGCGATTCCAAATGTGAGGTTAGTGTAAAGATCATATGCAAACAATATGATCAAAATATATGCATAATCATTTGTTCAGGAAAGTCATAGCGAAGTAAATTAAATTGAAGATAACTTTATGTCGATGGTGAGACTATCTGAGTAACGTTTCCAAACTGTTATTGAGGTAATGGGTGGTGACTGAAAGTGAAGTGAAAATCTGAGTCACCGTATGACTCAAACAAGCGGCCTGTGAACTACTAGTTCGACATTCTACGAAGGTTACGTGATCATCTTACCAGAGCCGAACAATCTTCTCTTTCAGTATCACTCAGATTAACAGGAAATAACCTGACTAGACAGGCTAATCTGATGAAAAATAAACATTATTCATATATGATAGAGAAGATTTGTAGCTCAGGTGGATAATTTTGATGTTGTTGTGTTCTCTGAGCTGGAGAGTTAATTTGCGAAGCTTTCATCACCCTACTGGGTGACATCTTCAGCGCATACTTCAATTTGAAGTGAGCTTTTAGATTTCTCCACGAGTTTATTAATCATCTTTCCTGGCGACCTTGGACGTGATTGGTTGTTTTTGTCTGTTTTCACACCTTCTAGGTTACTTGTATTGTCACTCATTGTTTCTTTGGCTTGAACTTTGACCCTTTGTGTGTGACGTTTCTTTCTTATCGGTTGATAAATTTTGTCTATCTCGATGTGTCTATTGATTGATGATTCACTGGAATGCCAACTTGAACAAGAGATAATGATATCCTTCGACGTCACAGCATTGTATACCTCAATCGGACAAAAACTAGCAAAAGAAACCATGGAGCAATTGCTTAGCAACGACGAACACCTTCCCCAAAAGTCAAAAATGCAACACACAAGTTGGATGGAATGCATAAACCTATGTCTAACAACGTACTTCCAATTCAACGGCCAAATATATGAACAAGTCAAAGGAACACCTATGGGATCGCCAATATCAGGTTTGATTGCAGAAGCAGTGATGCAAAGGCTCGAGAACATAATTCTACCAAAGATCAAACCCAAGATTTGGATACGCTACGTAGACGACACATTTGTAATTATCAAAAGAAACAAGTTAGATAAAGCTCACAACCTGATAAACAACGTCTTCAACGACATCAAATTCACAAGAGAAGAGGAATCAGAAAACCAAATCCCATTTTTAGACGTCTTAGTCAAGCGAACAACGACAGGGGAATTAGAAACTCAAGTCTATAGAAAATCAACTCACACAGACCAAATCCTGAATTACAACAGCAACAATCCAATAGCACACAAGAGGAATTGCATACAAACACTATTCAAGAGAGCCAGGACTCATTGCAGCACTCCCACCTTAAGGAAAATTGAAGAAAAATATCTCATGGACGTCTTCCAAAAGAATGGATATCCAAGGAATTTCATCAAAAGACATATACCTCCAAGCCAACCTATCAAACCAAAAGCCCCCAAGGAAAGCACAAAGAAAATCGCCTTACCATATATAAAAGACATCTCAGAAATCACTACAAGACTCTTCAAACCTTTAGGAATTGACGTCGTACACAAACCAACAAAGTCACTTCACTCAATTCTATGTCAACCAAAAGACTCAACAGCGAAGGAAGATAAAACCAACATCATCTACAAAATAGATTGCATCAACTGCGAAAAACACTACATTGGCCAAAGTGGACGTCCCCTTCGTCTTCGTATCCACGAACATAAGCTAGCTGTCAAAAGACATGATATCCACTCCCTCATATCACTACATACAGACAACCAAGGACATCAATTCGACTGGGACAACGTTCAAATATTAGACAGAGGAAACAACAAGAATGCTAGAGAATTTTTAGAAGCTTGGCATTCCAGTGAATCATCAATCAATAGACACATCGAGATAGACAAAATTTATCAACCGATAAGAAAGAAACGTCACACACAAAGGGTCAAAGTTCAAGCCAAAGAAACAATGAGTGACAATACAAGTAACCTAGAAGGTGTGAAAACAGACAAAAACAACCAATCACGTCCAAGGTCGCCAGGAAAGATGATTAATAAACTCGTGGAGAAATCTAAAAGCTCACTTCAAATTGAAGTATGCGCTGAAGATGTCACCCAGTAGGGTGATGAAAGCTTCGCAAATTAACTCTCCAGCTCAGAGAACACAACAACATCAAAACATTATTCATTCATATGACAACTAGGCATTACCTGGGGTGATCGCAGTGAAATGATCACCTGGTTAGCAGGTGGATCTTACTGCTTAACCAGTAGACCACTGGAGCGAGAATTCACAGACTTCTGTTTTGAATCCTGCTGAGAATCAGATTTCTACTTCACCTATTGTAACCACCCAATATGTCAATAATTTTAAAGCAGAAGTTCGACTCACTTAAGAAAGGAGAAATCTTTGAAATCTGAGATGACTTCTATCAAACACAATCAATGAATTATGAAGGTATAGGCATTCGCTTGTGGATAAAGGAACAAGACAAATATTATTTGACCTTAAGTATATGATGAGAATAACATACAACGAAGTCGACCTAGAAATAATTTACAAAAATACATACATTCTTGGGATTTGAAGACTGAGCAAAACAATTACTCAGTACCATCAGCTTTCAATATACCTTTAGATAGTGTCAAGAAGAGATCAAACAAAATGATGAGCCTAATCTTGTATTCCAGAATATTCATCGCAAAGTAAATACTTATTTATAGACAACTCCCGTATAACATGAGGACATATGCTTTTCTTAACAAAATACTATAAACTTGTATCTATGAGAGGGCATCAAAACGTCATAATACGGGACTATTTACCTCCCTATAGGCATAATTATTGCAATTTCTCGTCAAGATGTGAATTCACGTTACACAACGGCGTGTAATATAAGTGCCTGTTGTATTAAAGCAAGCGTAAATTATACACAAAGAGAAGAATGAATTTACCTGGATTAGACATGACTGTTTGACCTAGGAGACCAGACTTATGAATCCGTGCTACAGCCGTCTAAAAGTTAGCATATAAAAAGGCTTTTCAATGCCAATAAAACAATCAAAAGACTAATACTTTCCTTAGAAAACTTCTACTACACATGCGTCTACATACGGTTATGTCAGACGTGGGGTGTTAAATTGATTGAGGGCAAAAAAATCAAATAGGCAATTAGGTTAGAGACTTTGCATAGATCTTAGTGAATGTTGCATACAGGATAAGTTTTAGAGATATTAAGGTGGTAGTCAAGTGCTAAGGTTACAAACAAGAGATTTCACGTAACAATTCGAGATATAAAAAACCTGAATTTTGGTAGTGCTTGGATAAAAGTACTTTTGCTTCAAAATAAAACGGTTTTGGGTTCTGTCTTTCAAGACATTTTGGTTGTGTCCTATGGAGGACGCAAGACAGAAAGCAACAACTAGGCAGTACTCTGTGGTTTCCGGTAGTTTTCCAGCTGGTATCTATCAGGTGTCAGATATCTATCAATATATCTTCAAACATTCTAGTGGAATAAAATAACCACCAATCTGAAATTTAGAACGAGAAAGAAATCTTGTTTGTAGAAATCTAGTCGCTTGCTTCAAATTTGCATAAGAAAACAAATTTTTCAACGAGAATAAAGTAAAAACTAAGAGAATAATGCATTCGATATAAGGGCTGAATTCGCCTACAAGAAAATTGGAATAGATTGTGATGGTTCCAATTCATTGAAGATGATATTTAGACTGATTACGAAGGCGATACGTAGATAAGCCTCCAAAGCCTCAGGATGGTCGGGGGTGGATGCCTTGCGCTGCGGGTTGGCCACCCCTCCGCACACCTCTTGAAATGCTCCCATATGACCGGGCGTCTTACATAGCCTCTCCTGAGGAAGTCCTACTCACTGCCTTCACATGGCGGAGGTGTTTTTCACCAAAGTGAGGGGGCGAAAGCGGATGCCCGGAGCTCTTCACCGGGTTGACTGTCCATTGGATGACAGTCTAGGGGAGATGGCTAAACCCTCATTCCAAACCTCCAACGACTGGCGTATGAAGCTCACTGGAGCTCACTGGCAGACGTATGGACAAAGGGCTTGTTGGATGTCCTGGATGTCTGGCCCCATTCAAAAAGGCGTATGAACCGAACTCCGGTCACCGGCTGCCAATGGATAGTGGACTCCCTAGTCCATTCCTACTGCCTTGTAGGTCACACTTGGTTGTGTAAAGGCTAGAGCTGCACTCTCAAACAAAAGGTCGAGCGATTCTGGGGACATCACTCGTACCAAATTCCCATGAAACTTCATGAACACTCTTGATTCGAGATGTTCATGAAGCTGGCTCATCCTCCCGTAGGAGATAGCCGAAGTAAAGTAAGTAAGTAAGCTCAGACATATACGGAATTAAAACCAACAGATTATAGGAAGATATTTAGATTTGACGAGGGAATACAGAAAACAAATGAGTTTCTTTTACTTAACATCCGAAGATAATATATCATATCTAATAGAAACTAGTTAGCAAGAAATTTGTTGACGCTAAAAATGAGTTCTTAGTGGCTTTAGAATTTCCTTCTCAACCCATATTAAATGTAAAAGTAATTGTTAAAATAGATAGTGATAAAATGTTCAAAATGTAAGAGTCAATCGACAACACTGCTATAGGTTTAAGGATAAAACTTGGGCACTGCAGTAGACTATAATTCCATTATGGATAAAATTTTATCATGATAAAGTCACACAGTGTTATACAGTAATATTTATTGATGACGACATTTCGAGCACAATTTATTGCTCATAATCATATCAAGTTACTCGTATAACTTTCTTGATTCGTTTATATACATGAGTAAAAATTGGTTAGACATTTGAATAAAATCAATAAAAAATAAAGTACATTCAGAAATAATAATAGTGTTATCAATTGATATAATATGATCAGAGTTAAGATGTGTTGTTAGTCAGTAAGATGGGAAATAAGATATTTTCTACAGTAAAAATAAGTAACTTGTCGGAATGTTATAATGTGAATTGAATACACTTTAACATTATTTATTATTTCCGATTTGACTGGTAATAATACCTCCCCCATATGTCTGGTATTTGAGTTGAATCACTTCGACTGCATGCATTGGGTGTAGGCTCGATGAACCAGGATTCAGTAATCAATCTCTCTCCACCTACCTATATTACGTTTTAGAATTTTGACTCTGTCCCATCCTTTTGTGTGGTTGTGTGTTAATGCATGCAGTGCGATTGCTGAGTTTTTTTTCTTCTAGACTGCTTATCTTCATGGGATCAATCATTCTTACCTTAACTAAGTTATTATGTTTTGATAATCTCACTACTCCTGACCTACTAGTTTGACCTCCCATCTTATTGACTAACAACACTCGTCTTCTCATTATATTATATGCATTGATAATACTAATATTGGTTCCGAGTGTACTTTATCTTCCTTTCTGTTTCACGCAAGTCTTATATTGATTATATTCAAATGTCTAATCAATTTTTACTCATGTATATAAACGAAGCAAGAAAGTTATACGAGTAACTCATAATCATTATGAGTGTTAGTAAATTGTGCTCGAAATGTCGTCATCAGTAAATAATACTGTATAACACCGTGTGACTTTATCATAATAAAATTTTATTCATACTGGTATAGGGTCAATAATCAATTTTCACTAATAATATAACTGTAGAACAAAGGCTCGGTACACTGATTCGATCAATGAAACTCTATTTCTGAAAACCAAATTCACTACTGATGTGCCTTTTTCTCCAATCTAACCATGACTAACAATGTAAACCGTACATTCAAGCTTTTCCATTTTATGGAAAAAAACCAAAGCAGGTATATAAAAGCAAATCCCAGCCCACCTTCTCTCAGTGCGACATAATTTTTACTTGAGACAGTGAGATATGTTTTAAATCAAAGGAGAATTAGATAAAAATAAAATTCAACAAGGAAACTAATCTATGCAATCAGAGTATGAAATGTCTTAAAAGAACAAGTGAAAAAAATAAACACGAGTAATTGATGAGTGCTCATCGACAAGAGGACTTACAGAAACATCTTGATAAACATACACAGGTTTGTAGTTTATACCACGTCTATCGAAAAACTGAAAAAGAAACAACAAGCCAGTATTTCAAAACCAGTAGCACAGTATTTAGTTGTATATATATATATATATATATATATATATATATATTCATGACATACTTTAGTGGCAGCCTGCTTAAAAATTGGGCTACTGAAAACCTCCATCAATATATTGCATTCAGTTTCTCTTATTCAGTTTGTTTAAATCTAGTAAAATATGACCTCTAGTAGTATTATTTACTCTGTCGACTATTTAAAACACTTACAACCAGTTGATTTGCAAGTTTCTACTAAGCATGAGAAAAAGCATTATACTCGAGGACAGCTTATGCCAATACATGAGATGACTTTTGCTGAGTGGTGTCCTTGGTACACAAAATATACTCCTGAACTTTCCATGTTTGTCATTCAACAAAATGTCGTATATTTCTTTAAGGAGAAAAAGATGAGATGTCATATATAATTGGTTTGCGCTTCAGGTCAGATAGAACTGTGTCACACGATCCACTGTCAGTTAACCTTTTCTTTGAAGATTGTAGACGAAGAGAAAATATCATGGAATAAACTCTGCCGAAAATTCTGTACACTATGTAAACACTGTGCAGAATAAAGCTATTACCATTACTACTATTCCCATCCATTCAGTGAATACTCTACGTGCAGAAGATCACTATTACTTATCACTCTTTGCCATCTTAAGAGACCACCTGTGTTCAAAATCCTTTAATATTTCAGTTCCAAACCACAGATAATTCAAGATAACAAATGATGGATTATTAGGGTGTTTCTGTGTTCTCCTAGCTAGATGGTTTATAATTGCAAATCTTCCATTGTCTTTCTAGACAACATATTCAGAGCAAACTGCAGTATGAAATGAACTTATCTCATTTCTGTGTGAATGATATGACTGTAACTTCTGATAACGTTTGTTGTGACTGGTTGTTAATTTGCGTTAGTTCTGACTTGAAATTTGACTTTTTCGTTATATGGCTTATTCTCTATTAGTTGATAAATTAGATTGAAAACTATGTGTCCGTTGATCCCTGAGTTATCTGAGGATTAGTCTTTTAGGAATTCCCTGGCATTTTTAGTGTTTCCACTGTTTAAAATTCCTACATTTTCCCAGCCAAAATAATGTCCATAACTGCCTATCAGATGAACTTATTTTCTCACGACACAGAAATAAGTTTAAAATACCTAGAAAGAAATGACGTTTGAAGTCATGAGTCTGGGGAAAGACGCTCATCGGTGGCCTTGAAAGGTTACTACTCTCGGGGACTGAAGAGACCAAGTCTTTGACTGGATTATTGTGTATTCATCATGTGAACTACTAGTTTTAGAATTCATGTCGCATCGGGTTGTGAATGAGCATTGTCGAAGCGCTTTTAACAAGATTACGCTATCTAGTAGGAAACGATTTGTGGAGAAAAATTGCGAAATTTTCAGTTGACTGAAGATTGTCGTAGCCCAGTTCGCCAGGTTTTCATCTTCCCACGTTAAGGAGGAAGAAAACGACGGTTTTATTCCTTATAGTAACACGGAGTCAAATAACAGTTCAATGGGTTGAAATATTGCTATGCTTTTCTAGATAAAACAATGCTGAATGTGATTTATATCACACAGTTTTTCTTTGAAGCAACGAAACTAACTGTTGGGTCACTTTCACATGATAGTTTATAGTCGAGAAATAATACCTTCTTGCATTTTATTGTAACAGTACGACAGGAATCACAAACAACTTCTGTTTCCCCCAAGTCTTTTATATGACTTTTTAAAGTAATCTTTCTCTTGGTCAGTGGAACAAAACAGTCCATGACTGATTGAACCTTTTGGAAATCACACTTTCGGTACAGCTGTTTAATTGTATGCATATCGGTCAAGGACTTGTTGAATAATTCATTATTCAGATTCATGATATCGGTTCGGTAAGTTGTAAAGGTACTGATAATGAAACAGTGGATAGTAGTTCCATTCTAGTTTGAACCTCTTCAGAAACACACACTGGACTCCTCCCTTCTACAGTTAAAATTTGGTGATTAACATATAAATTTGTAATCAAGGATGAAGCAACTGACCACCACCTTCTATGACGCAATATTCTTAAACTATTGCTATATGTAATTAGGAGTGTAATTTGTAAACAAAGTAAATTGTTACAGTGACCATTAGACGAGCTTACTACGCAGCTAAATTCTAACCGCTAAGCACAACTAACCGGTGATACAAAAACCACGGAAAGATATTACATCAGTTTTTACATTTTATCAGATATTTTATTTTTTTATCAGATATTACATCAAACCGTAAAGAACAATGAGAATTTACTTCCGGAAAGAAATACAAACTGAGGTGAAGATCCCACGAAGCTCCATAACGAGACGTTTATAGTGGGATACCGACACGACGTTGATATCACTAAGGCTTTCTAGGTTATTACGAGGCTTACATAATGTTAGTTCCTGAACCATTGTGCATAAAAATGGTAGTCATTATGGTAGAGATCTAGGTGCACAATGAATATCGGTTTATGTTTTTGATCAATTTTTGTTCCTGTCTTCCTTTCAGTCCATTTGTGTTCTTATAATTTTGAAACTGTTGAACCTACCTTAGCTATTTATTTTCACGTTTTAATATCACTGTCTGAAATCAATTTCCCACTAGTTTTCAGATGTTTCTCCAAGTTCATTTTGCCACCAAGCGTCTTAATCGATTTCACTTGGTCTATTCGGAATTACGTAATTAATTAATTCATCATACTTTGCAATTCATACTGCTAACCTCAGCGTTGTTAGTATGGTAAGCATTATTATTTCCATTATTAGTGTTATTATTTCAATCAGCATATTTAGTTAGCGTAACGCTTATGATTTTTCGGTTGTTCAGTAGTGTCAAACCTCCCCCCGTTGGTCTCTAACTACTCTGTTTAAAACGATGTTAATCATTCAGTAACTTAGTAACGGTATTAATAATGACCAACAAGCAGTACTATTTGACGAAAACGGTTCCCCAACTACTCATATCAAGCAATCAGTAGTATATAGTACCATTCGGTTTTGGCTGCTTTCTTGATTACAATTTATGGTAGCTTAGCTCCCAAAGGAAACCGTAACGGTTTCTCACCTAGAACTGTGTTATTTGCAAATGAAGAATTCGATTCGATGCCAAAGTAGACGACAAAAATTCGAGTAGGTTGAATTGATTCGCCTCTCTGAGCTGAGTTGGACCGGGTACACCACTGTTAAGCTCAACTCCGAACAAGCCAATTGTCTGTCCCGTGTTTATATTGATTCTATCTGACTAACTAGCACTGCTGTTTGACATGCATAGTCTCCAACTATTGATATCAAGCAACATGTAATGTGTAATATCATGCTAATCTGCGTCCAATCCGAAAAACTTCACGTTCAATGTCTTATAATGCATATATGTATTCCTTTATTTACTCAGTATATAAAATATTGTATGTAGAGTAAAAAAAGTGGAGTATTCTTACAGCAATCTATGAACCGACAAATACTACTTAAATAGCATTTGTTGCTTATTTTAAATGTGTATTCAGAAATATACATTTTGCAATATGAATAATTAAAACATTTTGATTGTTTGCTTGTAGTAAACTGTTGGTTAAGAAAACGAGAGTTATCTTAAACAATAACACGACAAATTGTAGTCAGACTCAAATAAATGAAGAAAACTGCTACATGGATATTATCATTATGATGACTTACAGCTATAATTGAACAGAGAAGATTGATTTCTGGCAATCGAAAGAAATCCATTAACTGGAGCATAACAGTATCCTAAAAAGATATATATATATATATAAAGTATTTCAAAACTGCAAAATTATTTCAGTGCTTTTCTCTACCATTTGAAATGTTGCATTCAAAAAAGTGAAATAACAACACGGTTAAACAAAATCACCCATAAGAGTTGGTAAACTGGTGAATAGTCATTTAGGGCGGTTAAAATAATTCGAATTCATTCAACTTAGAGTACACAGTGAACTGTTTATAGAATACATGAAAAAAATATTCTTGGCTACTTCCAAAATATACTGAGACAAAATAAAACGATTCTAACAATATGAAAATTAGAAATATCTCCATATCGTGAATTATGTGTCTACACGAACGAAACAATATTCTTTTGAATAAATTCTGTTTGAGTTCATACAGTTATACAAACACCACACTAAAGTCACCTTTTCAACCTCAATATACATATACCAGTTTACTTGCTCATCTGGAGCTGAGTACATTGGCCGTATCATGCTTTTGCTTGTAAAATGCTCTCGGGAACACTACCCACCATGGTTAGCAGTGGGAGAACACAAGGGTGTACACAATTCGGTTACAGAACATCTGGTGAATTCAAGACATTCAGCTCCATTTGAAAAGTCCTTCAAAGTCATATACAAGATCCGATGATGAAACCTCTCAAAGGTAGTGAAATCAAGGCATCTGGGAATAGCTCAGGCATTAGTGATCCAGAAGTTCAAGCCCACACTATGTGTATTCAAAAGAAATACGTTCAACCATTGTCTCTACCAACCATGGCGTCATCATTAAAAGTCAGTCCTTTCAATAACAATTTCCCTATTACCTCTCTTATCATCACTCATCCTGTTTATTTCTGTTATTTTTATGCTCGGTTTTTAAATTCCTATATGGATTACTATGTGTTATTTTATCCGGACTTCCTATCTATTTTATTCTTACTAAGTTTTCAATGCTTAATTGCACAGAGTCAAGTATCTTAGTTATTATGATCCTATTATGTTTTTTATCCGATCTTCCTGTTTATTACACTTTGTAATATTGTTAATTTGCCCCTTGATGGGAAATAGTTGTTGGAGTTTCTCATCCATTTACTATAAATGCCCGAATGTACAGTCTAGTTGATGACCTCGTCGGGAAAATTTTCTTCGCTGTAACTTTCTCTTTATACAAATATTTTTAAGTAATCACAACACAATATCAAAAGAAAAGTCACCAAGGAAGCTGTTTTTCTAATGAAATTATCAATGTGGAAGTCAGTTGGAGGGACAGTCGAAACTATGCTGTCCGTGAATAAATGCTTCGGTAGAACTGTAAACTTCTCAACAGCATGCAACATCGGACTATTACTTATGTCAGAGAACAAAAAAGCTATTCGACATCATTGTGAAAAAACATACAATACAGTCATGAAGATCGAATTTAGTACTTGACCTTAAACTAAAACAATGATTCACTAGTTGTTACGAATGGGTGATGCAAAATATCATTTAAAATTGATTATTATGATGGCAGTGGTAATACTTACACTGGGTGTTATCTTTTGCTTCAAAACATCACTAGCCAGATGAACTCCACGGTAAACATTTAGTATTTCATTTAATGACAGGAGTGTAAAGCCACGATGAACAGTATCCAGTTGGATATGATGAAAAGCGTCTACTTTCATTAATAATCCCTACAAAAAAAAGTAGATACTGCAAGGAAACAAATGAAGAGTTAATTTTTAGGAAATGCAATACTACTACTACAGTTTTAAATAAGGAGGTGGTTCTGCCAGCTTAAACAACGGAGTCCCAAATTCAAATTCCTCGTCACCTATTTGAACTTTCGCAGCTGGGTGGCATTAGCAGCTCTCACATAATGTGTGAGGCGTATAGTCTGGCGTACATGAAATATTTATTCCGGGTAACTGAGTATCAAGAAAAAATGCTGAGAACTGGCAAACAATTAGGTTCTTATGATACTAAAGAACCAAGGAAGGAGATGAATAAAGTTTGAATGAAAATTTATTTATTTATTTTACTATAGCTTGATTCCACACCGTATATTTGGTACAGGTATGACATTTTCAGCATGCGATATCGGTAGCCCAAATTTAGCAGGCCGACCATAGATATCAGGTGTGCGTCGGCGGGGGATCGAACCTCGGACCATGTGCATGGTCGGCGAGAGTCCTAACCGCTGTGCCACCGACGCAAAGAGATAGTAAAAGACTAACGAAAAAGTAGTTATAAGAGCATTTCAAATGAAACAAATATGTTTTATCGAATGTAGGAAATGGAACTGAGCGAATTTCTTCTGAGTACGAACAGCGAGATTGCTTAAAGGTCTGTAAGCTAAGTTAATAGCAAGAGATGCAAGCGGAATTTATCGAAAAAACAAACAATCAGAAGGATACTCTAAACTGCCTTGAATACGCTGGTGATGTCCACCGCGTGATCACCTTCAGTCTGATAAAACAAAGTCTAGCTGCAGATGGAATTCGTATTCTCCTCTGCAATAATACTTTCTATAAACTACACATTAACCCTGCAGTCTTGAAGGAGCTTAAACAGTAAATTTTAATTCTGAGCCCCATCATTTGTGTTACTCAAAAAAGAGTAAATAGGAAGTGAACTTGGCAATCGATACAGTTACATATTCTGCACGAAACCTGAGGTACTGTAATGAGTACGAAGATACAGACAGATATAGCATCCTGAAGCCACTAAGGAAAAAAAGAAGTTTGGATCTGATTCTTTTTAAAACGTGACTAAGAAAATAATATAAACCCAAAATACTAAGTGAACATACCCTTTTTACATCAAAATGTAAACCACGCCTGGCGAATTCCACATAATCACAGTTCAGAATTTCTTCAGGATACTTAAGATGTTGAAGATTCCATTTTGTGAAAGTGGTTTATGTACAAAAGGTAAAATAAAATAAAAATGACTTAGGTCCCTTTCAAAACAAAGAATAACAAAATAAAATGGGAATTATGGTACACACAAATAACTAATGAAAGTTGCAGAAAATACTAGGAAAACGAGAGAGTATATATTACTAATCAATAGATGCAAACAATTATCAATTTTCGATATTCAATAAAAGAGGAGTCATCGGCAATTACTTTGCTCATCTTATATGGTTAGATTATATACACTACATAAATTTTGATACACTGTAAGTGTGTGAAGGGAGTTTTGAGTAAGACAACATCGATTATAGCGTATGTTATTTTCTAACCCAATTTTAATTTTATAGAATTGAACGAGAAACAGCTAGCGAAAACAAACAAGAAAAACAATTTGGTCGTCTTAGACAAGGTGAGTACCTAGCTCCCTAGGGATCGTGCGCGGACAACCGAGCACAACACAACTGAATGCCAAAATGAGCAATGGTTCTTGACTGAGTGCCTTCAGCTTAATGGGTTTGCTAAAGCAGTGAAAGCCAATATTCTATATTTAATGTCAGTGAAGATATAGGCTATTCACTATGTGGAATAATATACCATTACAGGAGTAAGTTCAAATATAAAGAAGTATTACTAATCCGATGAACTCAGGAGCAGTATAAGCCTTAGTTTTGCATTCAAACAGCGAACATTAATTGAACGGCATTCAAAAGAAATTAGGAATTAGCAAACAAAGACCAGGTTACATGGCTGAAGATCAACTACAACAGATTGAAAACATTCAATCATTACCTTCATTTAAAACAGAATCCTGCAACACCGTTATATAAGGACGGTCAAAAGAAATCCTACCATAAAATGTTGTAATTATCCGTTTATCTTACAAGTGGTTAGATTTAAGCGCTCAGCTGGGTGGGAATTTGATTAGAGGAACCAAGAATCTTTTGAGCTGGTTTGCTTCGTCTTTATGAACTAAGTAATCTAAGGAGGAAAAGTGAGGTCTCAGGTTATTGGGCTTGAACGATGGTGTAATGAACCTATCCTTATCTTTCAGCGGATTCTGAAAAACAGGCAGATTCCCTGGTGTCCGAAACTTGTCATATTTCATGGTCTGAAGGTTGTTTTTAATTCAGTTAAGGGGCAGGTGCTATGATATTTATTCAGATTTGTTTAGTTATATAAGTGTCTCTAGAAAACTATCATCTGAAGAGACATTAACAAGTATTATTCGTCAGGGATTCATGCTGTCACCATCCTTATTTAATTCCATTATGAGTGTACGAATGAATATGACTTTCATTGACCTGGGTTTTTTTTTTGGCTTCCGTCGTTTTCAGTGCACACAGAGTGAAGAGGAAGTGAAGAGTCATCAAGTAGAGGAGTTGCATTAGTAGAAGGAAGGCAAGATAATAGAGATGAAGATGAAGACAAAGATGAGTGAGGATTAGAGAGGTTTTGCGTGCACTTCGGATTGCGAGAGCGATTGTTACTTCCCGGCTGCCCACACCATGGAAGTTGGTTGCGTGACCGCAGAGCCCAGGGGACAACTGCTTGAGGCCGGTCACACACGGCCTGTTTTTGTTTGTTGTTTTTCATTTGGTGTGTCTCAGTAGCACATTTATCACTTCTGCCCTGTGACACGGCAGCAGAAAGCGCGGTCGTTGTTAATCCGGGCCCCGACCGATCCGGCATGATATTTTGTGATTTATTTTGAGTCATAGGATTGGGTTGGGTAACTGCTTTTTGTCTAACCGCTATCCAAACAACCTTTCTGGCATGGTAGGACCTACAGGAACATAAGTTCCAGCCAGTATAGCTTGTTGGGTCATTGCGGTGTTCAAGCCCGACCACCACGTCAAGGTAGCAGCTTTCGGTCGGGTCATTGACCTATATGTTTCCGGAATCGATTTTCGGTGGCGTACAAGTCTCGTTGATCTACAATACGCAGAAGACATATATGTTTAAGGAGGAGATTGACAAAATATAGATTCTTCTAAACCCATAAGAAAAGCTCTGAAGGTGGATGGTATGCGACATGTTCCTGTTAAATGTAAGATGATGCAGGATCGAAATGTACTATCTCTTAGTTTACAGACAGGTAATTAAATAGTTGAATGTATCGACTACTTCATTTATTTGGGAGGCCGTTTTACTCCTTATGGACTGATTATTGATGAAATCACAGAAGGGATGTAAAAGGTTCGTTTGGTATTTGCGAACTTGAATCAGTTGGCCAACTTTCACAGTAGAAAGGGAAAAGTGTAAACTAGTTAAAAAATATACTGACTTATTTTTTAATGAAGTTATTTGTAGGTAGTCACTTAGCTCTAAGAAATCACTTTTGTGACAAACTAACAGGTGGAGGCGTCATTGAAACTTAAGTAAAGGAGGATAAGCTTTTAGTTTTACTAGTTTTATTAAGTTGGCATCTGATTGCCCCCTATAAATCCCTGGGCACAGTTCAAGAGATTGTCCGAATCAATATCTTGAGGTGTTATCAGAATTGGTATCAATGGTAAACATTCTAAAATTCCCTCCTTTCCTCTCTTTCTGAAAATAATATGAAGCAATGAACCCTCCTTCAATGTTTGCGAAAACGATGCTTGCCTGTTGTTCCTCAGTTGTCATATTTCTTTCCTATACACTGTATTTTACTGTTGTTGTGTGATGCATCTGTATCAAGTTTGCGTTCAAGTGTATAGAATAATAGTGAGAAGTTTTGACTTGTAGGGTCCAACTTTAGTTCATGGAGTAGCAATGAATACCAACAGTTAATATTGCCAAGGATATACAACTAAATGGTTACAGTTAGACAGTAACCCCCGTGAGCGAATGCCAGACGATATAGTTTTTGAATGGTTTGGAGATCTTATGCTCAGTCTCAAAACAGATGACAGTGTGTGAAGTTGAGGAAATTCTGTTCGTTTCCCCATTAAATTACGTGTTGAGTAAATTCGGAAGTTAGTGAGAGCGGAATCACGACCATATTATTATTATTATTACTACCAGAATTAACGAAACATCTGAAAAGTTCAGAGTAATGGTATATCCCAACAGCTCTAAATAAATACATAGAATTTACAAGCGGTCTTAAGTAATACTTCGAGGATATTTACTGTTAAATGCAATATATAATAGTTGAATGATGACTAACTTTCATTTGTTCAACAAGCCAGGTACGCGATTCATTGAAAATAAATTTATCCAGTTCAGAAGTGTAGTGAGCTAGCGTGTAATCATAATCGAAGCCATAAACTTGAACTTTTCCCAGTTTTACTTCATTATTTACAAATATATCCCGAGGATTGACTGGATCCAAAGTACTTACACGTTCTAGAAATGGAAAATAATTTAGTTTTAATATACATAATCCAACCAACTAGCATTCAAAGCAAATGTTACTGTTTCACGCCACTCAACAAATTATTTTCGTATTCGCAATAAAAAGGTTTGAATGTCACAACGGAATCGTTATTATCCCATGTTGTTCACTGTTAAGTCATTAAAGCTGTCTGCTAAGAAAAACAAAGTTGTCTGTTTCAGTTAAGCAGCTCAATTGGAAACTAAATTTACACACTGACACTTTCAGCAAGGATTAACGAACTGTATTAGACTCCGACTAGATATTAACCTTTTTCCTTAGACAATGCCAGTCGGAGAAGTTACAAATATATATATATATATATATAATATATATATATATAAATTTGATGAATTCATTAAATCCTGCTTCATTAAACTTTATTGCTTGTTTTGAATCACCAGTCATTTAAAAAGTGGAGGTAAGTCATAAGTTAACATTTCATTATTCAAACTAAAAAGGTTTGACCTATTTTTTCACAGAACTGACCTCGATGCGCCACTTGTTATTCGATGACTTGCATGATAGCGTTAAGTATAAGGACCAAATAATCTAATTTAAATATAACGCATATAGAGCAAGAATAAATTATAATTCTGTGAAGCATTAACACTTCCATATGCCAGCACGAAATTGTGCGGTGATATTTGCATTTTATGACAGTAATTTCAACTGACTTGAGCATGTTAAATTGGTGGTCAGTATCGCGTAAGTTTTGCGAATGTAAGGACAGGCATTGAGATATTTATTATGCAGAGATGAAGCATTCAAAATACCAGATGAGATGTATTCTCCACTGCTTGAAAAATAATAATACTCTGTTATATGTCTGTAACTGATTTGATTGCTTTCGTATAAGATTTTTGGTGGGATAAATTGATATAAAAAGTAGCAACAGAAGTATCAAAATCAATATTTCAGTTTGCACTCATAGTATATGATAATTAATTTGGCAGAAAACCTATATAAGAATATCATATGGCAGATGAGCTTATGTTGAAGACTGTTTGAATAATATGACGTTGGTGAGGATAAGTGAATTAGGGGAAACCATAACACTCAATAATGATGACTAAGAACAGCTTTTAATTATACACTCAATATAGTTGTTAAATAAGGACCGACTTTTGTGTAAAAATGACCACAACCACTATATATATATTAATCGTGCATTATGTCACAAACTTATATCTTACCCTTGCATTCTTTGTCCAGCATAGAATACTGTTTTTGCATGTAAGACAACTCCGCATTACTTGAAGAAGTAGATAAAACCCGTAAAGGATTATTGTAAAGACTACATCTTCTTCTGATTTTAAGGAAACAGGTGAACATTGCAGAAATCCAGTTGGGAAGATTGTTTTGAGTGAATATTCTGAGGTTTATCAGTAGAGAATAAACTTCATAGCAAACAAGCGTTAAATGTGAATAGTTTATCAAACCGATTTTGTTCGACGTACATGAGTGAAGAAACCCACAAAAAATAAAGGTCATGTTAGCAAAACTATTATATATCTTTAATGTCATTGTATAAGATAAAAATGAGTCAGTTAAATAAGACCACAATAAATACCAGGGTTTAAATCATTTTCTCCTAAAAACCAAATGTTTACATTTAGTCGAATATACGCAAACTGGCTACGCTACCACCATACACGCAAATGATCAGTGGCACTAATTTATATTTGAGAAAAAAGTGTAATAGGAAATGAGACTGACACACCTTCAGACAAACATTCTATTTAAAAGTATTACAAAGCTGACTAATGTTTAAGTGAAATACATAAATACCAATCCAGGGAAGAGATGCAAACAATGACTTTCATTAGTCAGTTACAGAGCTTATGTACTAGAACTACAACCTTACTGTACATATGTGTAACATCTAGTATATAAAGCTAAGGTCCAAATAAAAAACCTTAAATAAAAAAATAAGTGCGCTGGTGGCACAGCGGTTAGGACGCCGACCATGAACATGGTCCGGCGTTCGATCCCCGGCCGACGCAATCATCTACCTCGCTAAGCCAGTAATAAGGCTGTTAAAGAGGAAAGGTTGGGCATGAAGCTATCAACCTCATGCTGTAAAAATAAACACTGATACAGAAACTTCAAGCCTCTAGCTTGAAGCCCTATATTCCACTGGGAACATGAAGGAATAAAAAAACTGAAATAAAAAGTAAAGCAGAACACGACAAAGTACAATAAGTGTACTTACACAGTGGAATGATATAAATTGAATGGATTCTTGATGAAGAAATGAAACAATATGATTTCAGATTATCTGCAATATTATAAGTCACTTTAAATGAATAAGTAAATGACATACTACAGGTAAAAGTGATACTCTAATGTACAGTACGACACTACATTAAGAAGACATCACGAATTAGTACATGTAAACTGACTTTTACTAATACGAAGTATTTTGTGGAAATTTTTACAGACTGGCATGAAACCAACTTCAAAGCATAACATGGGGCTATTTTCACTATAAATTTTCAGGTAGTATTCAAACTTCTATTGGGAAAGCTTTCTTTACCGTCTGTTATAAGGGCAGTAAAAACAAATTTTAGCACAAATCAATCTTCCTGATACTCTGTAAAATTTCCATTAGCAGTATTAACTGTTTAGATGAATATATGAGGTATTATTCATCACTACTGACTAGATTCATATCTTTACGTACGTAACGTTCTAATGCAAAAGATCAGTGCTACAAGCGCTTAACGTAGCTTTCGCCAGCGACATTTACTCATCGAATGATATTTATTTTGTAACTTTTCAAGCTTTACAGTTGTTTACCGAGGGAATACAGTTTTTATCCATTTTACTTCAGTTTTCGGCAACATAATTAAAAGTCCTATTTGTTCATTTCTATTAATTTCTAAGCCCACTACCGTACTATAAGTTTGGAGTTTACTTCTAACGTAAAAATAGTGTCATTAAATAATTATTCGAAATAATCTTGAAATAAAATGAATCAGGATTATTCTGCAACTGTACTTAAAACTATCAGGAAAAGTAAATCTAATGAAAGAACCACTAGTTTTTTGAAGAAATAAATAACTCAAACAGTTGTACAAGGTTTGGATACGAGTATACCACTAGTAATATTATTATGCCGAGGGTTTAAAAGTCGCTAATAGATTAAAATTTGTAGATATTTGATACAGATGATGCGGCACCCAGATATTTGCTCGATGCTGGAAAGAATGAGAACATTTGCGATGTTGCGGTACAGTTTGGACCACTTTAATAAAAGTCTCCAACATCCCTAGAACCTCATTCAGCCAACTTCTCTACATAGTTCACAATAAAGAAAATACAAGGTATCTTGTCAGCGCAAAGGAAAAAACCTCTGTATGTATGCTGAGGTAGTGTTAGCAATAACTGGGATAACTTTGTTTACTTACCAACCACATATTAAGACTACATTCCAGGGTTTTGAAACTCCGTATTCAGTACACCTTTGCATGCACTTAGCACGCAAATATAGAGCTATAAACTCTTTGAAAATGAAGTTTATTTATGCATCCATAAAGCAGCTACTTTTTCCCATATTTCTGCGACTGAACAGTATTCGTCAGCCGCCACTTTTGACAAAGGAAATATATGCACTCATTTACTCAAAGATTCAATACTGCTTTCGTTTCCAATATGTGTGGAAAAATGCCACAATCTAGGGTGATTTTGTAAACCTATTGAACGCAACCTCCTTATAGTGTACCCACTGTGGGAAGTTTAGCAACTGTGAAATCCCAGCGTTTTCTGTCTGCACAATCCAATGCGTTACCACAAATACTTCTTCCCTATCGACAAGAAATTTAAATTATACTTCGCTAATCTATCAAGTGTCTGAAATATCGGTCTTAAGATAACATTTCTGAATATTAGATATTGCAGGTAAATATTATTAGACAAATTGCGCAAAACATGGATGATTACAATCTGTATATACGCAATTGTGTACATGGCTTAAGCCATTCGTTATTCCCGATGTTTAGTTCCATTCAGAGACATGCTAAGGAAGAGCAAATAGTTTTGTACCTAGTATTATGGGCGACTAAAAGGACTGGATATGACAATCATGGTCCTGGCAAAACACCTCGCACATGTTCCAGGAATCGGTGAGTCCCACTGAAGATGTCAACAATATCAGGACTTATTGTAAGGAGAGACAAAATTAACGCGAAGGTACTCGGATCCTGGAGTCATTTGCAAAAAAGTATTCCTAAGGTAAATACTACTGTCTGTCATTTGATAAACGTTGAAGTGATATGATGTACTCTCAATCAATTCATGTGCCTCGATTGGTTCAAGCTAATACTAAGGGGAGAAATTAAACTATAGTTTAACTGATATATCGTAGCCAAAATCACAGTGATCTTGACCAATCAGAATTCAGATGAGAAAAAGTCATTTAATCATTGACAAATGCATTAATATTGTGAACATGATATTGCACTTGTTGTTACACGGATAACTTATAGAAAAATCGTATTATGAGCGATAGATATATTTATCTGGGTGATTGTAGAGAATGGTACTTTGAGATACATTGAGATTTCTGACACTGTTGTCTAACGCATCCCAAACTCTAACCGTTATCCTGACTTTAAACCTAGTCCTAACTTTAAAAGTAATCTTGAAAACATCACCCTACTTAACAGTGCAGATTTACAGAAAAAAGTACCTAAGGATGGGCAGGAACGATTTGATATGGAAAGACTTCTCAGGAAGTCATATACATATGACAAGTTATTCCAACTCCGCGCTCTACCCAAGGGCTTATCTGATTGGTTGCACAAGGTCATTTTGATAGTCGCAATAATTGATGCATTATGATATAAGTACAAATTGAAGATATTAACCGAAGATGAGCGTAAAACATAGTTGGAACTATTGTTACAATAAACTTCACTTAAGTTTAGTTCAGCTATTCACTAAACTTTAGGCTGTTGAAAGATGAGGAACTGTTCCACTTCCGCGAAACTAGAAAATGTTATACACGTAACAATATTTGTCCCCAGAGTTTCTTTAAATAATAATCAATACGATAACAGTGGTGCTCTCTTCCCATTCGCTAGTGTATTAGTCATCAAACTTTTCTTCTCTGTGAGACAAATATCCAATATCTCCGTGACGAGCTTATAAATCTCATTAGACATTTTGGTGCACTTCCACAAGTGGCTTTGTATTATTTCCCCGCTAATTCTAGCGACTTAGTCCGTTTCAACGGTGATTTAATGATAAGTTATATTTGTATATGCTTTTTAAATAAAGTTTTTCATCAAAAAACTTTTCCGAAGTATATTATATCGGTGGCATAATACACTTGAACTGCGTTAAATTTGCTGCATTCGTATCAGAGAGTGTCGCTTGATACTGATAATTGAGCAATGTGATGGATTAAATAAGGTGAGAAGTTCAAGATATGAACGTATATTTTTGAAATTTCATGGAATCATACTGGTACATTCGGCCTATTTACTGAAACGCTATTGTCTTAATTAGCAATATAGGCATAATATGTGGCACTGTTGTGAAATTGTGTTTCAAGTTGCCTTAATTTTGAAGGAAGATTTAACTGCTACAATATTCCTATTTCACAGACATAACTTAGGCTCATACGTGGAAGAAATTTATTGCCTTATTTGGAATAAAGACAAGTTGTTCAGAAGCTAAGGAAGACTGTATTTTTCAGTTTATCAGTAAAAATACTATTTGGCATTGGGTTGCACTTCAATTCCATATATAGCAGAAGATTATGAATGCATTTCTCCTCTCTACTGCATAAGGAATTACTTCACAAAACTCTATGATGTTCAGCAAAGACAAATAGAAGTTTTTCCACTTCAGTGTCATGATTTAATTCGTTAACTGTGCAGGCACTAACTGTAATACATTTGGCATGGAGACTTCATAGTGAAATAAAAGTGTACATCATTTACTAATTTTTTAGGTACTTCCTGTATAGATTTGATGTTCATCAAGTGGGCATTTAACAACTGTTGAATGTTGCAATCAGGTTAAAACTATAACTCGCAATTCTAGAAATTGCTATTGTTTTCCATTGCAGCAGTTCCCAGTCTATTGTGTTTACGCATCTACAATGCCAATTTCTAAATTTACTTAGCAAACATTAACTAAATTTTTGAAAAGTTAGCACATCAGTTTCCGAAAGTTACGAATTCTTCAGATTGCATCCCTATTACTTGAAAATACAACATAACTATGAGGGAAATGATATTTTCAAGAAGGATGTAATGCAAGGCTCATTTCTAAAACTGTCGAACTATATTTAGTTCAGTTTCATGATACATGTATCAACAGAATTGTCCGTCATTGACTTGAGGGACTTACCAGGGATTAATCTCGTCAAAATGAAAATACTGTAATGGCAGAAGACAAGTGCCGGCAACAGATCGTTTATTGTGAAAATCAAAAGATATTTATAGATTTTTAGGCAGATTAATATTCATTATTATTAGCAGAGAAGCAACGTCTTCTGATTGTTCGTTTTCCTGCTGAAGTTTATTCTGTCATCTCTTTGTTGCTGTTTCTTAGACAGTCCGGCGATATATCAGTGAATCGTATCCGCTCACGCTAAGTCTGCTGTGATTGGTTGTTGAGTTCCTCAAGGTAATGCTTTGTTCTTGTTTTTCCTCGTGACCCCGATTTTAGACGTAAACGTTGACGCAATTTGCTGTCTGCCAATTTTGGCTAGTAGACAGCTCACACCAGAATACTTCTGGTGTTTGATCGTAGGTGTCTGTGCTGAGTCTTTTGCGTTAAGTATTTTAATATGGTGAGTAATGTTAGGGCTAAGCAGATGGCATAGATATAGGTAGAGACTTAACTGCAAATTGTCGTAAATGACATAGATGCATTCATTCTGTGTAATCCCACGTATCTGATCAGTTACTAAATTTTGTCCTCGTAACCATCTGTCCTCCCTTACATTTTTTCTCATTGGGGTTCCTTTTAATTTCTTTCTTTCTACCTTCGTGTGCTACATGGAATGTGGTGACTTAAACAGGTGCACTTGTGTGCAAGCTTCTAGGTTGAAATTCAGTCATTCTAGGTATAACGAGATGTTAAGCAGTGAGTAATAGTCACCAAAATGTCAACAAATGATAATCTGGTTCTTGGTGGACTGAAAAAAGAGTTATCTTACAATAATGTCTCCTCCTACCCGAGACAATTTTCACAATTTGTCTCGTCATATCCCATGAGTTAGTTTATTTTATCCCATAACCTAAATACTCAGTCGATGCACATCTGATGGAATATTTTTTGATAATCGCAAACTGGATATAATACTTTTCATGTGTATAATGCAACAACTCGAGCTGTTGCACTTCACTGCTGAGTTCTATGTTAAAACTCAGTTTGTCGGCTTTTGTCACCGCATCTGCCTACTATTACAACTTAATGCAGTGTTAAGTGGTTTAAACAGTTACTGAAACCATTCCCTAATTGCTGTTTGTATTTTCCCAATTCCTTTAATTGTCTAGATAAAGTGCACAGAAAAATTAACCATTAACCGGAAGTCAGTAACATGCACATAAGAAATAGTGTGAATAGAAGTGAATGAGACGAGTGATATTTTTATCCCTGTAGAACGCTTATCTTAAACACCTATCCAATGCACTGCGTGTCTCCTAATTATTTCACTTTTTATCTTCCGCATTGAAAGTTATCAGTCTTCGTAGACATTCCGCTAAATATCATCATACATGGCGTCTGCAAGCAGTTTTTTAATACATCTTGCTCCCACAAAGCTGCTTTTACAAAGCTTCGAGATTATTCACACTGGGCTGTAGTACAACTACTATGCTTTCATCACTGATGCAATGACATGCAAGAATTGTACATTTTGCAGTAAATTTGGCCTGTAATAACATTATCTACAAAGTATATGCAACATTTTTGATAACATTTAGTCGTTATCTTTTCATTGTGTTGATAAGTGCGTATATATTAAAAAAAGTCAACCTTGTCGTATGAAATTTAGATGTTAATGTTTATTTGCAGTTACTGACACAATGTACGTAAATGTTTCATTTTCAAACTTGAAAATTCCTGAGGTTTTGTGGGACTGAGTGCAGCGAGTTAATAATGTATTCATCACTGTACACATCTTGTATGAGTGAGAAGCTTTTGTTCAATCGTTGGAGAAGCTGCGATGTCTCCCTGAAGGGTTTCTTAACTTAACTGACGATTGATAGTTACGGACTTTGCCCAAAGGATCTACGACACAGTGTAACTACTTTTTCAAATAGAAGCAGTAGTTGAGATATTATTAAAGGTGTAGACTACCTGTGAAATGAGGAGAGTATGCTTTATATATAAACATATTTCATATATACATGCAGCTAACGAGAAAAATACGCCACTTTCACTGGCACGATCAGTTATGCTATAATTAACAATCGTGAAGTAACATAAATTAAGGATTTTCCAAAAGTTAAACTCGTTCCACTATTGTACAAGTAATCAGAACAGGTCCTAATAGATGCACCAGTACCTCCATCATCACTGGAATTTGAATCGGAACTCGATGACGCCGGCTTTCCAACCACCTTCTTACCACAAACCATGCTCATTGCAGGCTTACCAACTACCGGAGACACCTTCACTACAAGTGAATTCTTTATATTTACTGGTTCCTTAGGTTCTACTGTTGGATTCAAAATGCTGGCAAACTTGCGCGTCGCTTGACTGACACTGTCCTTTACCAGTCTCATAATATCATCTAACCTGGGCTCTAAACCACCCTTTTCTAAACGGGAGCTGATTTTCATGAACTTTCTTTGTAAGTGGACGAGTAATCTCTTAGCGATTGCCTCAAGAACGGAGCTTGAGTTCAATTTATTCACACAATTAAGAGAAACGAGAGTATTTCTGTACACCAAAAACTCTGCGAGTTCCTTGGAGTTATCGCTTAGCTGCGCCCCATTACCTTTAACGGTCTCGAAAACACTACGGGATATAATAAATGACTTTCCAAACCTTTGACGTAATATTCTCATAGCCTCAGTGTATCCTTCTTTTGGAGGCATA